CAGCTGATATATATTTATTGTCACGGGTGGGTGTGGAACTTTACCTCGGATCTGCAACTAAACAGGAAATCCATGCATGTGGAAAAATGTAAGAAATATTTGACCATTTAATGGTTTCTGGTGGTGCAGATCACTGCAGCTGTCACTGATCAAAGGGACGGGAGCCAAACAGGAAGTGGCACAGCAGATGAAGGATATTTAGATGATTTACAACCAGAGACCAACTCACAATCTGAAACCTGCCCGCGTTCATGTCCAGACCTGCGCTTCCTGCTCATGTGAGAGCGAAAGGCATGGAGCGAGCGCCGGTGATCCTGATCTCCTGTCATACTCCCGGCCCCCACCGCCTCCGTCATCCTGCAGCCCAAAGAGAGGCAGAACAATGGCTCCTTTCAGCGCTCCGATTTCAAAGTCAAAGAGAAACCACAAAGTGCAGGAGAGCCCGAGCTGGAAGACGGAGGGATGAAGGAGAGGGAGAGGCGAGGAGGCCTGCAGTTGGGGTCAACAAGTGCAAGAAGCGAGATGAAAAGCTAAAGCTGGAAAGTCTGAGAGCCTGAAGATGTTTCTCTGAAACGGGAAAAAGATGAAAACGCTTTGTCCAGAAATCTGACCGAGTTGTTCTCTAATTTAAGAAAAACATGTTTTGTTTGCTGAAAACCTTCAAAACACAAAAACTCATGTTTAGGTTTTTCTTCTAGGCCCCAAGTCTGCAGCCTGCGGCTCTTTGGATCTTACAAAATTACTCTTAATAACTCTGGTTAACAATGCAAAAGAATTAAGTTTTCAAAGTTTTTCTGCAATATTTGCATCGGATTTCCACAAAGAATAACAGTAAATGTACCAAAAATGTGCATTTAGGTCTGTTTTCTTTGGTATTAAAGGAATGCTTGTTTAGAAAAAAAAAACATCCTCTTTTATGTTCATCTTCATTTAAATCCTAAAATTAGAAATGAAATGCTGGAGTTGTCTTTGTGACATAGGCAGCTGTGAGTTTTATTTGGCCGACCTGAGAGCGAAATGTCTCTTTACAATTAAAAGGCTGCAGGCCTCTGATCTGGAGTTTTCTTCAATGTTCCTGAATTCTCTGTAGTTCTGTCATAACAGACCCAGAGGATCAGTTCTTGTTTGTGTCAGAGTTCAGGACCAGACGGGTCTTTTGATCAGCCAAATGAGTCTGGAGAGGAGCCGTACGCAGCGCTGCGGGGCCTCCTCTTCATCACAGAGCCGTAGAGGAGGATTTGGTTTCTGGTGCTTTATGACCGCTCTGGAGGTCAGCTGGTTCTGGTTAAATGGCGGTTCTGGAGCATGAAGTCAGTTTCTGCTCCAACAGAAGGAGAACTGGGCTTTTCTAAAGGCACCTGTGCTGCTTTCACTGTCCTCGCCTTTCACTTCTACCTGCACTCTTGTCCTCCATCAGAATCTTATCATTCCCTGTATTTTGTCCTCACCTGGTCTCCTGTTTGGTTGACCGAGTTTCTGCTAATTACTCACACCTGGATCAGACTCTATTCTTCTTGTCAGGCCTAAAATAGCTCAGGGTTGTTGTAATAACACAGAACCACTAAACCAAATGGCCTCCAGCTATGACTGTGTCGAGGCGCAGCGCTCTGAGCATGCCCGGACCAAAACCACTGTGAGGCAACAGCGAAACCCAAGACATGGAGAAAACAACACGTCGTCGCTCTCGCGCACCACATTCAGCTGCTCCTCGTTTGTTTGCATCTTCACATTATTTTTCAGACTTCCTCTTTCACTGAATGCGTCGGTCGTGTTGGGTTTCTGTTTGAAATGCGTCTCTCTTTGATTTCTAGAAGTTTTTGGTGTGTCATCAGGCGTTCCTGTGCTCTGACATCGCAGCGAATAAATCAAGAGGTTTTGTTTCCTGAGCATCACCAGTAATCAGCCACACTCTGAAAAGTGTGTTTGGATAACGATTACTATTCAAAACAAAAGCTCGAGTTTATTTTACTTAAGGGTGTAGGACACGTGAGCGGTGACCTAGATATTCGTATCACTGCTAAGTTAATTAAATTAAAGCCAGTTGTAAACAATAGAGAATAGGTCCGAGTACACAGCCTTGAGGTATCCCTTGTAAACCAGGGCTATAGAAAAGTGAGAACTACAACTATTTTCCAATACTTTTATTGTGAAGTGACTTTCTTAGGGTGGCGGTTTCTTGAACGTCATTTTGCTTTTCTCTATTCTGCAGTTGAAACATGAAAGGTTTCAAAATGGACCGTTTTAAAAATGAACAAGCTGGTTTCGGTTCAGATAATAATCTAAAAGATTGATTACTTAGTAATCGTAATAGTGACTCCTCAGCTCCAGAGCAACAACCTGTTAATATTCTGATTTAGAAACCCATGTTCATCTTCTTTATACGTTTTGTAGAAAAGTTTTCTAATATTGAAATCAATCTAGTTTTTTCTGCCTGTCTTCTATGAATTAAGTCCCTTAAAATCATATGTTTCTGTCATTACATCTCATTCATTTTATTATTAATATATAATTGTTTTTCATCAGAGATTTCATGACCTAATTAGCAGCGATTGGATCTAAAAAGTGTCTGATTCTAGACGTTTGGAGGCATGCTGGTGAAAACTATAAATCAGGTTTTCAGCTCTATAAAATCAGTTCTGAGTAAATAAAGACATAAAGCAGGTCTGAACACATCCAGTCATGAAGAAGAGCTGCAGCAGTGGGAAGACGGCCTGAGGACCGCTGAGGGGAAACAGCATCAAATCGATTGTTGCTCTTGAGTTTTGGCATAAATGGAGTTGAGTGGCGTGCGGAGCGCGCACTGGGAGCAGTAAAACATTTGAAAGGAAACTCCCTCTGAGCCGAGTCAGCGCGGAGGAGCATGGGATTAAAGAGAAGTGTGTTTTTATGTGATCTTTGCATGTTGTCGCTCCAGAGGAAGCCGGCGTGTTGACGATCACTCACGATTAGGTTGGGGAGACCTTTGTGGCTCGGAGTGGTCTGGGTGTGAGCTGGTGTTGGTGGGTGGTCGTTCAGCACTCAACATGTGTGAAAAGACAGAGCTGAGCTCTGGGAATGTGCAGCTCCATTAAGCACAGTAAGTGAAACATGCAGCAGCGTAAATCATCACAAGGAGCGTCACTTTTTCTGTCGTCCTAACAGGCAGGCCCTCTTGTCTCTAATGAGTTTCTGTCTCGGTTCCTGCGGCTGCCTTGGTATTCAGCTCCGGCTGTGTCATCATTTATCAAGTGTCCCTTTTCATATTTTGCTTTTGTGAATCAGAGAGTTGTGTAAGCGCACATGAATGTGGATTCCTTGGTATAAAATGTTAAAGTTGGCTCCTGCAGCAGGAAACTCCCAGTTACGAGATTTAAAGGGTGATTCTGGGACGCTTCCCTCCTTTGTGCTGTGGCTGGTTTTAGAGCAGGCCATCTGGTTGGTTGTTCCTGCCTTTGTAGCCGTCCACTATCACATTTTCTGGGATTACCGGAGCTCTGTGCGCTTCACAAGGGAACTGATTCCAGCGTTCCCTCTTCGTACAGTAGATTCTCCGTCCAAACTCAAAAAAAGCCTGGAAGAAGAAGAAAATACAAACTTCTCACACCTTTATCTTTCTGCTTTCTCTGCCTCTTTGAGGAGCAAATTCAATCACAACTTTGATTTGGCCCAAATTATTTTTTAGAATATTTAAGTATTTAAAGTATATAAAGTTATAAAATAGAAACAAAATGGATTAATACCCACTGAAGTACAGGACTGTCCAAGACATGCCGAATATTTCTGTCCAGTTTTTTTATACAAATATCTTATTACACTTGAAATAAGACGAAACTAATTTAAGTAACTTTTCAGACAGATATAGGAACTCGTTAATAATTGACTTTAAGAAAAATTTTTTCCACATTATCTGCCAATAAAACAAATATTTATAAAATCAAGAGTGAGTTATTATTGACATTTTCTACCTTTTTGTCTCTTTTTATAGTCATAAAACTGTTTGATGTTGGAAAAGATAAGAAAAGCCAAACTGCTGAGTCATGTTAAAACCACAGCCTCAGAGAATGCTGACTCAGCGGTCGCCCTGGGGATCCCCCACCTGTTTTCATCAGAGGACCAGGAAGCAGCAGGCCTGAATTAAAACCTCAGATTTGCTTGGTTTAAATTACTAGCCTGATTTTAAATGTTCCCAATCTGAAAAAGCAGAACAGGAAGAGGAACGGCTGTAATAATGTGAATAAATGTGCTTCCATTGTTTACGTTTGGCAAAATCATCACCTTAAGGAGTTTATTTGCCGTATATGTCAGTGTCTCTTCTTTTGGATGCCTCTGTTAAAAGTGTCTGGATTTTTAAAAAGCCACATTTTTGTGTTTTGAGTCACAAAGGCCTCGGTGTGAAGCGTTTCCTCCAGAGTCTGAGCTTGTCAGACCTAATCACTGTGAGTGTCTGTTGTTTTTTAAAGGACTTATAATCTCCGGGTTTCCATCCACTGCCTCCAAATTACACATTTCATTCCTTCAGGATTGTTTCCATCGGTGGCGATGTGCCTCCCGATCGATGGGGTGTCTCTGTGAGCCTCGCAGGCCTCCGTCCACCACTTCACACGCAGCCGTTCTTCCCCCAAAAAGTCCCCTTCCCTGCTGAGTTCAGATCGGCGAGTCCAACGGGTAATTTTGCGGCTCCGCCTGTTCTCCTCGTTTGGCCTCTAGAGGAGCGGCGTTGGATTTCAGAGCTCTCACTCTGCAGCTGCAGCTTTCCCTTCTCTTTAGTTTCTCCTCCATCATCCATCTGAGCTGCTTTCCGTCTCCCAGCCCGCCTGCTTCCTCTCTGAGGATATTTTGAGCCGTTATTTTCTCCGCTGTTATTGAGTCGCTCTGTCTGTGTGATAAGAGGAGGAAGAGATGCAGGAAGCATCAGGCTGCTCCTCCCTGATAGATACATGCAGACAGATTAAAGCTCTTCCCTTTGCTCCATCAGCTGAAGGTTGATCAACATTAAAGATGTTTGTGTTTTTCTCCTGCAGCCGTCTTGAAAACCGGCCCGAACGGCTCCGGCTGGAACGGCGAGCGGGAGCTGCTGTTTGGAGGAAACGTCCAGAGCGCCGCGCCGCCGTCGCTCTCCACCGCCTTCTCCGCAGTGACCACCTCCATCGACGGAGTCAGCATCTCCGAGGGAGACCTGCTGCTGCAGGTTTGGCTTTGCCTCAGAGCTGCAGCTCAAAGGTGATTGGCTCAGAGAGCAACCATGCCTCCTCTCTGCCTGCAGGCGCTGAACGGCTTTGTGTTGGTGGTGACGGCTGAAGGTTACGTCTTCTACACGTCGCCCACCATCCAGGACTTCCTGGGCTTCCACCAGGTACAACACAGCAGCTGCCGCAAATATGCATCCCTCATGTTCTGCTAAATCATTCACTTTTTCATTGTTTTCACATGATAGTCACAAAAATTACAATACTCCAAATTACTGTTGGAAAATAGCAGCAGGCCGAGCACAGACCCTGGAGGAACGCCTTTCCTCACAGCAACATCTCAGATCATCAGGAAGACATCAGTCAGTCAGCCCTGATCACCACACATCCTCCACCGTGCTCATCAATTCACAGGAGAAGCTTTCTCACATGTTCACCGTTAATTTCACCCACCAGGAGAAACTCAGTGTTTGGCTCAGTTAAAGTCCAAAATCATTACTTCCTCCAAACATAAATGCACAGATTAGAGTTTTAAACAACTTTTAGCTGTTTTGTTTCCATCAGAACTCTAAAAACAAGTGTTTTCTCTGGTTGCGTGGCAGATGAAGGACGACACGCTGACTGACACACACACACACTCCGACACACACTCCTACTGAATCGCATGAGAGTGCGTGAGAACCGAACCTCTTTGTCGGCTCTGAACTCTTGACTCGTAAACACATCCGTTTGAACCGGGGTTAAACTTGTCTGCAATCTGAGGCTCGGGGTGGGGGACAAAAACTGTTCCCGGGGGGAAACACGTGGTTCTCACACACACAACACAGTGTGTGTTTTCAGCTGATCCAGGAAGTCTGCAGCAGCAGCTGCAGCAGCAAACCAGCTGCTGTGGTGATTAGTTTCAGCTCTTCTGGAGCTGATCTGAGATCTGCTGAGGAGGAGATGAAAGCAGGAACCAAACTCTGTGTTTTAGATGTTTAGCACGCAGACACCAGGGGGTCATATGTTTCAGTCACAGAAACATATGACTGATTTGTGTTGTTGTCATTCAGTCGGACGTCGTCCACCAGAGCGTGTTTGAGCTGATCCACGCAGACGACCGCGCGCTCTTCAGACGGCAGCTTCACTTCTCCTTCGACCCCGACTCAGACGGCTCTGAGAGTCCCAGTGAGTCTGACACAGGATGACGCACCTGAACGCCTCACACACACACACACACACACACACACACACACACACACACACACACACACACACACACACACACACACACACACACACACACACACACACCATTCATCCTCCGAAAGTCCCAGTAAGTCTGACAACGTAACTGAACCGTTCATCCTCTCTTTGCTGTTCAGTGTTTCCTTTTACAGCCACAGTACTTAATTAATGACTTCCCATTGATTGCATTTATTTTTGGTGTTTAGTTGTTTTTTTTGTTGTTTAGCAGAAACTCGTCTGTTCTTCAGCTTTGAATCTGTTTTGTGTTTAGTTAAAATGTTTTCTTTGTTTTTCCAGTGTTCGTTCTGCTCTTCCAACCAGCCTTGTTTTGTTTGTTTTTCTATGCTTGTAATTTCCTTGTTTTACATAAATTTCACTCTGATTCATGGTTATGTTTCAGAGTTTTCTCTCTGTGGGTCGGAGATGCAGCTCAGAACCACTTTGATGTATCTCTCTTTTTCTGTTTTTGTGGAAGCAGGTTTAGTTTGACAATCGTTTTTGTTATTTTGGTGATTTTAGTTTTGTTTACTTCGGTTTTGCTTCTTCTAAGTTCTTTTTTTAAATGATGTTTGCTTCTTTAGCTGTAGTCCTTCTTGTTGTTGCTCACTTTGCTGTTTTGCTTCTCTTCTTTTTTTTAGTTTGTTTTGTAGGTTTTATTGTTTTTACACGGTACTCTGCAGAAAAACGTCAGGTTTTTTCAAGTGTAATTCTAGTTTGAAGCTTCCTGACTGTATTGTCTGCTCTCTCGCCATCCAGGTGAGCAGAACAGCACTGACATCAGCACCAACGTGGTGGCCTATGACCTCCAGACCATCCCTCCTGAGAACTCGTCCTTCCTGGAGAGAAACTTCTGCTGTCGTTTCCGCTGCCTCCTGGACAACTCGTCTGGTTTCCTGGTAGGACTTTCCTCCTTTTCTTCCTGAAGCCGCCGTGCAGATCGTCGCTCTGAGCTGCTTCTCTTCGTCCTCAGGCTCTGAACTTCCGCGGCCGGCTCAAGTTCCTCCACGGTCAGAACCGGGTGTCTGAGAACGGGTCGCTGGTTCCGCCTCAGCTGGCTCTGTTCGCCATCGCAACGCCGCTGCAGCAGCCGTCCATCCTGGAGATCCGCACTAAGACGCTCATCTTCCAGACCAAACACAAGCTGGACTTCACGCCCATCGGCATCGACGGCAGGTGAGTTAAAACATCGTCGGGACGCCGCTGCAGGAAGCTGACGTGTTTTTGTGTCCGCAGAGGGAAGATCGTTCTGGGCTACAACGAGGTGGAGATCAGCATGAAGGGTTCAGGCTACAGCTTCATCCACGCCGCCGACATGATGTACTGCGCCGACAAGCACATACGAAGTAAAACGAACTAAAAACTGCTAAATATTCCAGGACAATTCAGATCATTGTGGAACCAGATGTTCCTGTAAAGTAAAAGCTCAATTCTGATACAGATTGAGAAAAATTGATTTGTTTAACAGAAATACATTTTGGCAAATATTGAAAGTTTCATAAAAATGGATCAATTCTAAATGCTGATATATTTATTAAAATTTTATAAATATTTAAAGTTATTTTATAAACATTGATTATTTTTATGCATATTGATACATTATCATCATACACTTGTTTTTTAGTATAAATATTGATCAAATTTTATAAAAATTCTCATGTCTGACATTTTTATAGATACTGAATATTTTGATTTAAAAATGGTGACTATTGATAATTTTCAGAAATGTTGATACATTTAGTTGAGTACGGATATATTTGAATAAATAAGGGTGTTAGTTTGTAGATATTGATACCTGGTGCATGTCAGTAGATGTATCCTGATGAATGTGTAATAATTGATGGTGATTAATTAAATGGTGTTTCTTGTCTGCAGTGATGAGAACCGGAGAAACCGGCTTCACCTTCTTCAGACTGCTGACCAAAGATCGGCGCTGGGTCTGGGTCCAGTCCAACGCCCGGCTGGTCTATAAGGACGGGCGGCCAGAGTTCATCGTGGCGCGGCAGCGAGCGTTGACGTGAGTCCTGGTCCGGACCGGAGACTCGGACTTGTCCGTGGATCTGCTCCTGACCCGGCTGGTTTTGTCGCTCTGCAGGAACGAGGAGGGGGAGGAGCAGCTGCGCCTGCGCCAGCTGCAGCTGCCCTTCAACTTCGCCACAGGCGAGGCGCAGCTGTACGATCTGCCGCTGAACCTGGAGAGCCTGGACGTCCCGGACCTCTGCTCCGCGCCCAAGCTCCGGAAGACGGAGGCAGAATCTACCAACTCCCTGCTGGGCTGCCTGCTGAGCCAGGGCTGCGCGGCCTACTGCAAGCACGAGAACCCCAACGGCATCGGCATGCTGAGCGACGTGGCGTTCCAGGACACGCACGCCACCGTCAGCGTCCCCCAGGAGCTGCAGGCGGAGCCGGCGCCCAGCGTGCCGCTGCTGCGCATGGACCCCACCATCCAGGACATGGTGGAGACGCTGGAGCAGCTGTTCGGCGACGCGGACTTGGTCGAGGCCGTGGACGTCGGGCCGGAGGAGCTGCAGAGCTGGGAGAACTCTCTGATGAACTTCACCGCCTGCAACCAGGTGTTCAAGGACGACCTGAACGACATCCTGAGCAGCGACATCCTGACCTACGTGGCAGAGCAGCTCCAGAGCGAGGGCGGCCTGGCCTTCCCCGAACCCCAGAACCACAACCCGGAGCTGGCCGGGCAGCAGGACTTCAGCTGGCCTGTCCAGAACCAGAACCAGATCCAGAACCAGATCCAGATGCAGCCGCCGCCTCTCTCTGGGACGGCCAAGCTCAGCCACCTGGACTTCCCTCAAACGGCTTCTGCTGAGCTCAACCTGGGCCTGCAGGTTCCGGTTCCGTCTTCCCTTCAGCTGGGCAGCGCCTCAAACGTGACCTTTAACCCTTCGTGTCGTCAGCACCGGGTATTTAAAAGCAGCCCTGCAGAGTTAACGGATCCAGACCAGAAAGCGGGCGGAACCGTCAACCCAGTATTTATCTTTAAAGGCTCTCAGTGGGGTGAGTCGGGCCCAGCCCAGAACTTTGTGGAACCCTTCGCCCCGAATATTTCAAGCGACGTTCAGCCGCCGCTGTCTGGGTTCCAGCCCAACCCCACCATCCAGAACGCCTTCAGAACCCCCGAGCCCGCCCCGTTCCCCGACCAGCTGGACTGCATGTTCAGAACCGCCGCCGCTCCGCTTCCCAACGGCGTCCATCACGGCCAGGGCAGAACCGACCCGGACTCCTTCCAGATGCCGGCCAAAGCCGCCTGCTACTACCAGGCGCTGCCTATGGGCGGCGCTGTGGCGGCGGCGGCGCTGCCACCGCATAAAGAGGCGGCGCTGACCTACCAGGTCAAGTCCAACGGCCGGACAATGCAACAACACTTTCTACACTTCAGTGAAAACACAAAGGTTGACTCCTTCTCCTTCTTACTTTGACTAGGACAACAACCACAAAAATATGAAAAATAAATTACTGGATGTTTATGTAAAACTGGGGTACGGAACCTCAATAGGGACAAAATTACAAAAATACTTCATGGAATCATTAATTAGATAATTATTTTACACAGAAATGTGATTAAATTGTTAAAATTCAAACCTGCTGATGCAGAAAATGAATTAATTATGTATTTATTTTTTTGTGGTTCCATCATGAATTTATTTGATCAACGTCGGGGGGCGGGGCTTATAGTGGCGTTTTCCCATCAGCCCTTTGGAGAGACTTTGCAGTTACTAGGACACAACGATTTATGATGAATAATTAATTTTATGTTCAGTTCAACTTTAAAGAGATTTTTTTTATATCTTTAATTTTACAAATAATGTCTAAAATAAATGAGGAGAAAAACTAAAACGTAAAACCACAGCAGTCAGTCAGGATTGTTTTTATTTTATTTTGTTTCACATTTACAGCACCAGTCACATTAATTAGTGTTTTTTTATCAATAAACTGCACACAGTATCTGCATTGAATCATATTTTCATATTAATTGATATTTATTGATGCACATTTGTGTAGAAGAATAGTAAATAGCGAAACTTACAGGTATTTAGCTCCCCCTGCTGGTCAACATCTGCTAAGCTTTCTAGATTAAATCTGGACTCTCAGCTTTATTACCCAAATAATTCTGTTGAATCAGGAAAATACAAACTTTACCACAGGTTTCCTGAACCGATGGCTCAGTTTCGGGTCGTTCCAGGTCTCTGAATCGATGTGTTTTGTCTCCACAGATGGACAACCATCCCATCATTGGGAACGGAGGATTCCCCTTCACCTCGCTGCCCAACGGGAAACCCTGCCTGACAGAGAACAAATAGGACCGCCCAGACGCCTGGACTCCAACCTGGACTGAAACTCGGACTCATCCGTGGAAACCTTAAAGCCTGGAGCGACTAACGAGGGTTCGACTGAAGAACAGGCGAAGGACAAGTTCAGCTTTGGTTCAGGTTTGGTGGTGTTGGCTCGAGAAGACAATCAGGACTCATAACAGCTGGAGAAATATTTCCTCTTTTATAGGACTTATTAAGCAATTTGGATGATCAGCATCTATTACCATCTCAATGCTTCCTCATATTGGAATTAGGAGTCTTCAAATTAACCATAAAAAAGGAAGAAAAATGTTTTGAGTCATTTTCCTTCACATTTAAGAGTGAGAAGCAACATAAAGTCGTGTGGAGTGTTCATAAAGCATTAAAACATTTATTTAAAACACTTTTTGTCGCTGGTGATGCACACGGGCAGTTTGAGGTGGTTGGAAGTGAATTTAAGTAAAACGGGACCGAATGCGAGCAGTTTGGTTCACCACAAGGGGGCAGGAGTTACAAACCTGAGTGACTCAATCTAAACCAACGCCTAGTGGCCAGATGTGGTATTGCGCTCCAGACCCATTTGTTGCTCATTTTATCCGCATTTTAAAAAAAGAAAACGACGGGAACACTGAACCAGCCGCGTGTTTTTCCCACTGTCGTGTTCAGCGCACAAATGTTCCGCTCCGACCCGAACGCCGAGCCGGGTCCGCCATCACTGTTTCCATGTTTGGCTGCTGTTCTAATCCGTCTCCATTGAGGTCATTTCAACTGTCACGCAGCGGGGAAGATTTGCTTTGCAAGCAGACGGGACATAACATGAAACCATGAACATAAACGCACAACAGAGTGACGTCAGCATCCTACTACGAGCCTGGAAGTCGAGTGGATTCAGTGAAAACAGCTGCTTGTTTGTATATTTTAAAGCTTTGTCTCTGAGCCAGATCTTTCTCTTTCTGTCATTTTAGTTTATTTTACTTGTTTCTTCTGATGTTTTGCTCTTTTCTTGTCAGGGGGGTAAAATACGACGGTGCCTTAAACTGATGGAGCTTTAAAAAGAAAAGAAAAGATTTGAAAAAGGGAAAATATTTTAAAATTGACCAAATTTATTAGTTTAAAGCCAAACGTTGAGATTTGTTTCACTTTAAGATGTTTAATTTGCCAAAGCACAGAAATATTTAGTTTTAGATTCCTGGAGCCACTTTATGAAACGGGCACAAATTAAAACTTTAGCACTTAATTTTTAAAGAGTAACTCTCGCTGCGATCTGTTTGCACTAGATTTAAAGATGAAAGTTTATTTTAGCAAGGCTCACATTCTCCTCTTTCTCCACATCCTTAAACCCGTCCAGCAGCAAAACACAGAAGTAAGACAGTGTAAGGCAGCTAATGTATATATAAGGAAATAAATGGAAAATGTCATTCATAGATGCCTTTTAATTGACTTAGTTTTAATAATTCAGCCCAAACTGAGCCAACTTTAGTAGCGCTTCTTCCAGAATAAGAAAAACGAATCGTTTTCATCAGATCTTAGAGGAAACAGACTTGAATTCAACCAAACTTTTGTAACCAAAGCCATCAAAGAAGCTTTACTCCTGAGGATACCAAAGGGAATGGAACATAATTAACATTTTCCATCAACATTTAGGCTTCAATTAACCATTTTTAAAACATTTTAACCACAAAAACACGCTCAGGTCTCACTGAAAGTTTATCCAATCTGCTCCAGGTTTCCTGTTGGTTTAAATGTTTTGCACAAGGCAGACATGGAACTCTGGGAAATGTAGTTGTCCTGCATTCAGCAGCTTCTGGAAATGAATGAAACTCCCTGAACGTTTGGAGTTCAGATTCAGTTAGAAATCCAAACCCAGCATGAAGCGCTTCATCCTCAGTGCCTTTGTTTCACAAAGTATTCTTTGTATAGAGATATAAATATATATTGTTACTCGCTCTTACACTATAAAAAGTCTTTAAGATTTGACCTGTATGCTTCAGACCTAAGGAAGCCTCCATTATGCAGTATCTAACTGTTTGTACATACATTCATAAGTATAATCATTCATATATCCTGCATTGTAATAATGTAATGCCTTTGTTTGACCCACGCCTGTTATTTTGTACATTTTCTGCACAGCTCATGCATAACCTCCTGCTCTCGTGTATTTTTGGCTTCTCTGCTTCGTTGTGTCTCAATATTTGACCTTTAAATCTGTATCTGAGTGTTTGAGTCAGACTGTAAATCTCCACCATATTAAAGGTGATCTGATCACTGCAGATAGTCTCAGGGTTTTATTTTAAATCCGAACCAGAACTGGGTCGGATCTGGATCTTCTGAAACTGGAGCAGAAATGAGCTCCGGTCCAGATCCGGCTGCTCAGCGCGATCAGGACCGATCAGGAGGGATTACGCAACTATTGATCATTTTATTTACAGTTTAGTTTGAATATGTAAATGCTACCTATGGTTGCACGGTGGTGCATTCAAGTACATCTCGTACACTGGATTGTCCAAATATCAACACAACTCCAAAGTGGTTTAAACTTTTGTTTTGCAGGTTTACACACTTTATTGATTATTTCTAATTAATCAAACCAGTTAATGAAATATTATTCCTCATCCAGCTCAACGTTTGCTCTGATTTCTCCAGCTTCGTTATCTAAAAATGTATTATTTAAAAAAAAAACTAATCTAAAATGTACATAAACAGGTTGAGTGTGATGGTCTCCTGTGTCCACCAGGTGGCAGTGCAGCCACTTTAAGGCAGTTGTGGCATTAAAGTTCAACCTTTAATGGTTTCCCATTATTTCCAGCTGCACCAGTCATGAAGCTGCCACCACCGTGCATCACTGCAGGAACATTTGTGTTATTTTGGTACCTGGTAGTTTGGAATAATTATTCTAAACTACCAGTGATTATTATAGTAATAGATTATTCAGACGATAAAAAAGTTGACACTTCTGCATTTTTTCTGTAATATTAGTAGTAAATTAAACAATTTAACTATGTATTTAACAAGACATTAATCATTTTATTGCCTAAAACCCAGTTAGGCTGCGCTCCAGCTTCCGGATCCAAAGTTCTGTAAAGGAGATTTTCTCAACGTTATGCAGTTTACCTCCAGGGAACTGTTGGGGAACGTTCTGTTAGAGAACGTTCCCTGCATGGATTCGGAAGTTGGTGTAAACGTTTATTTTAAAGTGATTTAACTTCCGGTCTAAAGCCATCAATCTGCTGACTGAGTGAAACTGAAACATTTCTGTCGCTTTTCAAAGTTTAATTCAACATAATTTTCCTCTGACGTCACGCGCGCGTTCCCGAGGTCTTATCAGATCACTGGAAGCGCGCTCCGGCCACAGAGCGGCAGAGTTCCTGGAGGAGGAGGAGGGAGAGGAGGAAGAGGCGCAGATGGAGGCAGGATCCTGACCTCCACCGGGATCAGCTCACCGGGCTGCGGGATGCGCCGTTAAAGCATCAAAACTGCGCCAGAAACAGAGAACCAGCTGCGCTCCGGCTGGACTCCCGGTTCTGTGCGTTAGTCACCGCCGCAGTCGGACTTTTGGCGCCGTTTCTGGCGGAACCGGTGCGGAATGAGTGAAACCGGCGCAGTGGAAACGGAGAAACGTCGCTGCAGCGCCGGCGGATTGTCTGGGACGGACCCCGCTTCACCGACTCTGACCCGATCCTGAATCAACATGTACGCGGGGAGGAAGCGCAGAAAACCGGCGCAAAGAGGGTGAGTCCTAAAAGTCCGCACTAATTGCGGACATGTAAGACGTATTAGTTACACTTTAAGTCGTCCCTGTTTAGCAGCGGCAGACAGTTTGTAAACATGGGATTATCTCCCTGGATTTATGGGGCCGCGCGGCGCCCCCTGCTGGCCGCGGCGGCAGCGCCGCTCTGCTCAGACAGTTAATTATCTCGTCATTAATTATCAGCTTATCCAGGAGCGGATCTAGAGATGTTAGAGCCCCGGGGCGCAGGAGGCCCCACACCGTCTCTGTTTCTGTTGTAGATTCAGATTATTTAGTCATCGCTGCGCCAGAAGTTAACCTTTTTAATCTGGATATGTGTGTTTATTTCCTCTTTTTCTGGTTATTTATCGTTTTGTAGATATTTTTCCTCTTTAGATATGATGTTTGTTAGATTGTTCCAAACATCTATGTGATTATTTTCTGGACTCTTGGGCCTTTTCTGACCTTTTTGCGTTTTTTTCTAACTAAATTGATATATTCTTTATTTATTCCTGTTTGTCATTTTGTCAATGCTCTGTCCTTATATAATATGTTTTTGTCTCTTCTTGATATTTTGCTGGGGTTTTTTTATTTTTTGTCTAATCCTTTTGTCCATTTGCTGATTATTTTTGTGGGTAATTTCTCTTTCCTAATATTTTTGATGATTTTTCCTCGTTTTGCAGCTTTTGGTTGTTTCGTCTTCATTGTGTCAGAATCAGGGTCTTTTCGATTTTTAAATTACAGATTATTTTACAGATTTCTCTTGTTTTACTGATGGATCCATGCCCCTTTACTCTGAAATCCCCAAATAAAGCCCAGTCCAGGCAACATTCATCAGAAGTCACCACATTTTTTGACCAGAATGTTTCATGTGCAACATTTAGTTTTTTTCTGTTCCTAAATATGATGCTTGTATTTCCTGACCTCCAGAGTTAAACCCGTTCCCACTGAGGGAACCAAAACCAACCCCTCCAAACGGCACCGCGACCGGCTGAACTCAGAACTGGACCGGCTGGCCAGCCTGCTGCCCTTCCCAGAGGAGGTCATCTCCAGCCTGGACAAGCTGTCCATCCTGAGGCTCAGCGTCAGCTTCCTGCGCACCAAGAGCTTCTTCTCAGGTGGGGAACGAACGCGCAGGCAGAGACGCGCTGAGCGAAGCTGGCTGAGTCCAGACAGAGGCTCGGGTTTTTGAAACGGACCGCCTTGGTTCTGTCCAGTGAAGACGAACCGAGTCTCCTGCTGCTTCCTTCTGTTTTTAGCTACTTTAGCTTAGATTTGGCTCCACTGTGAGTCTTAAAGTGTGGATGTTAATAATTCATCCAAGACATTTGAGATTCTGCATTGTTCCTGCAGAATAAGACAGCAGCTGCGTTTCCATAACAGATGTGTGCAAAACTCTGTCAATGTTCAGCTAATGTAAAAAAAACCCAACAAATTTCCAATAAGAAATGCATTTAAATTCATAAATTAGTTCATTCCCGTAATAAATCATTTACAAACACTGCACCATGGTCCTACAACTACTTCCTGTTTTCTTCTTCTTCATGCTTTGTGGATCATGTGACACAAAGTCTTTTAGTTTCACTAAATAAACCAAAAGCTCCTCATCCAAGCAGCAAAATGTATTTATTTTTTTAATTGGCGTGTTTTATGAAGCAAATTTATTTTTGAAATGTCAAATTGCGAACTGTGTTGTAAACTTTGTAAGAGGCTTTCGGTTAAACCTTTTAGATTAATCACATGAGTTAAAGTTTTAACGTTGACAGCCTGGTTAAATGTTTTCAGGTCCAAATTCTTCCATAAACCTGCGGATCTTCCAACGTTCTCAACCAGAACGCCTCTTCATGTGGGGACCATTTTGATAGTGGGTTTTTTTGAACACACATCTAGCCCTCCATGTCAGAATTGGGTCATCTCCATCTAAGTGGCTGAACTCTGCTCGACCTCCTTCCATCCAGACAGCAGAGAAACCCACCAGGACTCGGCCTCTTCTCGCCCGTGGCCAGGAGCCGACCCCGTCCTGAAGGCTGAGCCAGCCAGTAATGTGGGTCTGGGGAGACGGACCCATTACTGCGGGCGCTGAGGAGATGAAAGAACAGAAACGCGGGGGGATAATCCACTCAGGGGAGGCTTATGGGCCTTTAACGGGAGGGGGGCGCGGCGTGAACAAAGTACAGTCTGCTCTCCGCTGCGGAACATGAACCTGGAAGGTCAGAGGAGTTGGTGAATCTGAATCTGAGGTTTTCTCATGAGTCAGAAAGTTAAAGAGTTATGTAAGATCAACATTTTCTACCTTTTTGTTCCTCAGTTCAAGTTTCTACTGCTTTTAAAATCAGTCTGAGCTCCTAAAAACAACCATCCAGCCGCTTTTTGGAAATAAATTATTGTTTTTGTGACTAGAAAATGAGCCGTTTTAAAAACTTCCCAATCGTTGAGTCCATGGAAACTGCGCTGTTACCTAGCAACCAAGCCCAGCCCGTTACCTAGCAACCCCAGTGGAGCTCCAGCACATTTGATTGGCTGCATGGTCTGTACAATGGCTGCTGGAAAAGACAAGTGTTTGGTTGTTGACTTACCATCCAGGAACTATTTTCTGCATTCTCATTAGTTGTGCAGGAGGCTCCACTAATGCTTTTCCAAGATGTACGGTTGTATAATTGTGCATCTGCTTGCAGTCACTTTCATGTGTAAACGTTGAGTCGATGTGATGGGAAGAGCGTCTGGATGAGTCGACACTAAAACTGTTTTCACACCTGATAATCTGAAGAGTTTTGGATTTGGGGCCAAAATTATAACACCTGTTCTGTTTCTCTCTGCTCATCAAACCAACCAAACCTTTGAGGCTCAGGGTTTGTTGCCACATTAAAATAAACGTGAGACGGAAACACGGAGCAGCTTTAGTCGCTCTTCTTTTCTGAATAATTCATTCCGGTCTGCAGCGCCGTTAGTGCAGCGTAGTAGGGGGGTTATTCAGGTCACGGTGTGTCACCATCCCCTCAAACAGCTGCTGATGAACTGTCGCTCACATTAGCTCCAGCTGCAGAACACAGATCTCCGTTGGCTCCATCAGTGGCGTTCTGTCCTCACCAGGCTGGTGTCGTCTGTGTGACGTTTTTAATGGATGTTTTCGTGCTCGTCGTCTCTGCGTTGTGCCAACACACGTCCCCTCCCATCCGCCGCCGCCGCCGGCCTCAGGCGGTTTCTCTTCCTGACGTCAGGCGGTTGAAAAGCCCGTTCCGCCTCCTCCAGCTCCGAATTAGTGACAGTCCAGATGAAATGCTGCCATCGTAGCGAGACTGAGCCGGTCTGGGATGTTTGCTGTTGGAAACGGAAAGATCAGCTTCAAAGGTTCAGGAGAAAGCTTGACCTTTGACCTCTGGATTCTCAAAGACTTCCTCTTCCATTAATGTCTGAACCTGCTGCTTCTGAAGCCATACTGAATGTATCAAAGGTCAAAGGGCACAAAGGAGCCAGTCTTTTTAAAACATGCTGTCTTCTCTGAATATTCAGCTTTTCCAATTAGGCATCAAAGACGATGAAAAGTTAAAGATTTTACTGTTTTATGATTCATTTTTGGCATCAAGGAACCTCAAGAAAGCAAAACCTGAACATTTGTATAGAAGATTTTGCTTAATTAAAAACCAAACATGATTTTTTTGTTTGCTTGTTTGTTTCTATTTCTGAACCAAGGATGTGGAAACTTCCTTCTTCACCAAATGGAAACAAAATTTAGAACAAAAATATGAGAAAAATTACAGCAGATGAATTGGACTCAAACATTTTCATTCTTTAACGATGTCAGTATTTTTTACTGATCACAGATATCACCATCTGTAGGTGGGAGTTAGCGTCTACTAAATTCAACATTTTTGACCATTTTTGCAGAAAATTGACAATAAACTCACAATAGATTTTTGTGAAATTTCAGAACAGCAATAAACTGGATGGACTGGATAGTGGGAAACAAATCCTGTAGCTTTCAACACGGTAGCACGCTTGGTGGTGGCAGCGTCATACTGGGGGCTGGTCTTTCAGGAAGCATATAAGATGCTACAGTTTTAGATTCATGGTGAAACAAGAAGGATCTGATGGAAGGGAACCAGCCCATGTTGGTTTCCTTTGACTGTAGAGTGAAACATGATGCTGTGGATGGAAGCAGCTGAAAGTCTCACTTTTCTACAAGCTCCTAGAAAAGCTCATGGTATAATTTTAGTTATTTATTAGGTGAGTTTTTATTGTCGACTCTAAAAAAGGAACCTTTGGTGCAGCGTCTCTAACTGGTTTCTGTCTCCTGCTGCAGAGGCGTTGAAGCATCAACATCCCAATGGCATCAGCAAGAGCAGCGATGGAAACGGCGGCGGCGCAGAGGGCGGCTTATCAGAGGGCGAGCTTCTGCTTCAGGTTGGTTCGTCTGTTAACTTCTGGGTCTCAAACGGCGCGTTGGTGAAACTTTGCTGCTTGTTTTGGTCTGATGGAGGAGGAGCGGCGGCTCTGCACAGCAGGAACACAAATTTAGTTTGTATTTAGCTTTTTTATAATGCGCTACTGAGTGAAATCAGCATGCCCGAGGCGGCCATCTTGCTTTACAGCTGCGTTTTACAGCATCTATTTATTAGGACTTTGAATTCAGCTCCACTCTGTCACAAAATATGATTACCAAAATAAGATTTGATGTTTTACAAAAAGTTGAAATGTTAAAAGAAAAATCTGCTTTGGAAAAAGTAGGAAAGTGGAAATATGTGTCGGATCGGGTGAGCAGCTTGTGAACATGATCTTCATCAGTGAGACGGATGTGGATCCAGTGTCATCACCTCCTCTCAGAACCCGGAGGCTCCTTGAAGATGGCGATGGAGGTGTTAGTCATCCCGCGGTGACCTTCTGACCTGACCTCCGCTCTGATGCTTCCTCCTCCCTGTCAGCCTGGGGTTGAAGTCTCATCTCCTCAGTTGCAGTTTGCTTTCTCTTTTATCCTGTTTTGTCCTCCGCTGGCCCATTTCTTCTCTCTTATCTGAAGGCTTTTTTATCCAACTGGAGTCTGATTGAGTCAAAAAGCACAGGGTGAACCAGAGGTTGCACACAGATTACGCTTATGCCTTTCCCATCCAATAAAAACAAAACATTGGAGTAAGCTGATCTAAAGATGGGATTATTCAGCATCCAGAGAACCAGATTCATGTTTCCCTTCATGTGTTTCACCTAATTTGGTCTCTGACGCCGCGGTGAACAGAGTCACGGCTTGATGCTGTTCTCTCTGCAGGCTCTGAACGGCTTCGTGTTGGTGGTCACATCTGAGGGAAACATCTTCTTCTGCTCTCACACCATCCAGGATTACCTGGGCTTCCATCAGGTATTCACTCACCACGCGTCACATCTCCGTTCAAACCACGCATACTGTTTTTGTTCTCGTCTGAAAAGACGCTAAATATAGCAACAAAGTTGGGCGACTGTTGTTGATCACACCTGACAGTGACTGATTATCACACCTTTATAGATGAAGACAAGATTGGATTCATATCAGTTGATCGTTGATCTCCCAAAATGATGGAAATCAGCCGGGTGATATATTGGTGCAGTCTAACCAAGAACAAATGGACAGAATCTCCAAATACTCCTAAAAATGGCCTGTTTTAGTAGTTTAACATGCCTTAACAATAGTTCTATGTTTTCTTGGGAATATTTTAGATATGCAATATGGAAAATGTACAAAAAGATGAATTTTCCCAAAATAATTTTGAGCTGCATTCTATAGAATCTGAACCTCTGATCTGAGTGTGTGGCAGTGATTTATGTGCAGATGTTTCACAAGGCAGAAATTCATTATTGTCATTTTTATCTTAGCCATGTTGTTCAGTAACAATAGCCAGAATATTAAACCCTACTGTTGTTGTGTTTTTCATCCAAAAGCAAAATCTTGTTCTATTGTAAAGACAACAAAAAAGATGAAGCGGAAGAAAATATTTTGGTAAATATTTGGTGCTGAATCCACAGTTTGTTTGTTCCTGAGTGGGCCGTGGAGCCGACCAAACGCACATATGGGCCATGAGGTGTAATCCAGTTAGCGTCACAACAAAGCGCTGCTTCCTTCAGCCTAATCTTATTTCAGACAACATGCTTACAAATTTAGCCTGGATCCGCCGGCCCGTCTCACACCATCCCGACCAGCGCCAGCGTCTAACTCTGGACTGGACGCTGTGGTTCATGTTCACACCCTGGATAGGAGCGTACAGTCGGGTCGTACGTTTAGCATCGGGGTGTGATCATCACCTTTCACCCCTGGTTTTTCAGCCGCCCGCCTGAGGCCCGTCTCCTCCTGTTGAGAAACAACCCGACGCAGGAAGAACCCAGAGTAATGAGAGTGAGCACAGTTCTGATTGGAGCTTAAAGTTGGTTATTGGATCAGGTGCTGAAGCTTGTCAGACACTTGATCTGCTTCAACAGTGGAGATTAATATAATGGGATCATCTGAGGTAAAGAATACATCCATTCTTTACCTCAGACTTGGAGAAATAACCAAAACATTTAGTCTTCCTGCAGGTGGAAGAATAACAAGAACCCAGTTAAGCTCACTGGGTTCTGATCTGAGTGAACCGGACAGGGTCCAGATACGACCACCAGGAATATTTAAGAAGCATTTCACACAACACTTCAGTCTGTCAAAATTCCTTCTGTTGACCCGGCCGTGACTCCTCCCCACCGGGAGGGCGGGTCCGCTCACGTCCACAGCTGGGTCATGCTGGTTCTGGATGGTCCCAGCAGGTTTCAGCCATCTGAACTAAATAATAAGCGACACTTGGTTTCTTTTGGCTTCACTTCAATGCTCTCCTGTCTAGAAATGTCTGGTGGATGATAGAGAGTTAAAGGTTCATCTTAACACCTCGTGTTTCTGGAAGACCACCAGAGTCATTGTTAAAGACCACAGAGTCATTGTTAAAGACCAGAGTCATTGTTAAAGACCACCAGAGTCATTGTTAAAGACCACCAGAGTCATTGTTAAAAACCACCAGAGTCATTGTTAAAGACCACAGAGTAATTGTTAAAGACCACAGAGTAATTGTTAAAGACCACAGAGTAATTGTTAAAGACCACAGAGTCATTGTTAAAGACCAGCAGAGTCATTGTTAAAGACCAGAGTCATTGTTAAAGACCACCAGAGTCATTGTTAAAGACCACCAGAGTCATTGTTAAAGACCACCAGGGTCATTGTTAAAGACCACCAGGGTCATTGTTAAAGACCACCAGGGTCATTGTTAAAGACCAGAGTCATTGTTAAAGACCACAGAGTCATTGTTAAAGATCAGAGTCATTGTTAAAGACCAGAGTCATTGTTAAAGACTACAGAGTCATTGTTAAAGACCACAGAGTCATTGTTAAAGACCACAGAGTCATTGTTAAAGACCACCAGGGTCATTGTTAAAGACCACCAGGGTCATTGTTAAAGACCAGAGTCATTGTTAAAGACCACAGAGTCATTGTTACAGACCACAGAGTCATTGTTAAAGACCACCAGAGTCATTGTTAAAGACCAGAGTCATTGTTAAAGACCACCAGAGTCATTGTTAAAGACCAGAGTCATTGTTAAAGACCACCAGAGTCATTGTTAAAGACCAGAGTCATTGTTAAAGACCACCAGAGTCATTGTTAAAGACCACAGAGTCATTGTTAAAGACCACCAGGGTCATTGTTAAAGACCAGTCATTGTTAAAGACCACAGAGTCATTGTTAAAGACCAGAGTCATTGTTAAAGACCACAGAGTCATTGTTAAAGATCAGAGTCATTGTTAAAGACCAGAGTCATTGTTAAAGACTACAGAGTCATTGTTAAAGACCACAGAGTCATTGTTAAAGACCACAGAGTCATTGTTAAAGACCAGCAGAGTCATTGTTAAAGACCAGAGTCATTGTTAAAGACCAGAGTCATTGTTAAAGACCACAGAGTCATTGTTAAAGACCACCAGAGTCATTGTTAAAGACCAGAGTCATTGTTAAAGACCAGGGTCATTGTTAAAGACCAGAGTCATTGTTAAAGACCACAGAGTCATTGTTAAAGACCACAGAGTCATTGTTAAAGACCACCAGAGTCATTGTTAAAGACCACCAGAGTCATTGTTAAAGACCACCAGAGTCATTGTTAAAGACCAAAGTCATTGTTACAGACCACAGAGTCATTGTTAAAGACCACCAGAGTCATTGTTAAAGACCACAGAGTCATTGTTAAAGACCACAGAGTCATTGTTAAAGACCACAAAGTCATTGTTAAAGACCACCAGTCATTGTTAAAGACCACAGAGTCATTGTTAAAGACCACAGAGTAATTGTTAAAGACCACAGAGTAATTGTTAAAGACCACAGAGTCATTGTTAAAGACCACAGAGTAATTGTTAAAGACCACAGAGTAATTGTTAAAGACCACAGAGTCATTGTTAAAGACCACAGAGTCATTGTTAAAGACCACAGAGTAATTGTTAAAGACCACAGAGTAATTGTTAAAGACCACAGAGTCATTGTTAAAGACCACAGAATCATTGTTAAAGACCACAGAGCCATTGTTAAAGACCACAGAGCCATTGTTAAAGACCACCAGAGTCATTGTTAAAGACCACAGAGTCATTGTTAAAGACCACAGAGTCATTGTTAAAGACCACAAAGTCATTGTTAAAGACCACAAAGTCATTGTTAAAGACCTCCAGTCATTGTTAAAGACCTCCAGAATCATTGTGAAAGACATCCAGTGGAAAATGTTTAAGATTCTTAATGAAAACCATCTGAAGCGAGTCAAACAGAAAGCCTTCAATGGTAGCGGTCCAGTTGTGGTCTGGCGGTGGTCTATAGCAGTCCGCTAGTATTCCAGTGGTCGTCCAGTACAGTTAAAGGATGTGGAGAAAGTTTGCATTGTACATTTGAAAACCTTGCTATGAAACCACCAACTATTATGAACCCAAATCAGAAGCTAACTGATCAGAACCGAGTTGGAAAATGTTGAAGAAACTTCAGTACCTTTAATTTTAGGGTTTGGGTGAAGATATGTAGATATTTGAGCCTCAGTAGAACTATGTTAGTGTAAATCTGGAGATGTTGTCCTGAAGGCTGTGTTGTTTTCCCGTCAGACTGATGTGATGCACCAGAGTGTGTTTGAGCTGATCCACACTGAAGACCAGCAGGAGTTCAAGAGGAACCTGCACTGGGCCCTGAACCCCCCAGTCAGCCTGGAGCCCCCCACTGATCCAGCAGGTCTGTTTCCTCAAACATCAGTCCCACAAATATTCTGCTTTCTGTGCAAACGGGCTGAACTAAAACCTTAAGAGGAGTCAGACATGAAGTCAGGAAGCGGCGAGGAGCGGTGACCTTTGAGAGGTCGCATCAGCAGCTGCAGCAGCTGCTGCAGCAGCAGCAGCATGCTCTCAGATGCTCTTACTGTACACTGGAGTTTAGCAGCTGTCGTTCTGCATTAGCTTCACACAGCAGCAGCAGATGTAGGTCAGCCTGTCCTCCCATAAACTGCCACTTCTTCAACACTTTTTAACCAAACTGTATCTGCTCAGGTGAAGAGCTGACGTCTTCCTGCCCGGTGAGCTACAACCCCGACCAGCTTCCACCGGAAAACTCCTCCTTCCTGGAGCGAGCGTTCGTCTGCCGCTTCCGCTGCCTGCTGGATAACTCCTCTGGCTTCCTGGTGAGTGGGGAAGCTCCACCTGCCTCCCCAGCAGGATGTTAAACATCCAGAGCTCAATGGGTGGGGATAGAAAAGGAGGCCAGTGTTTGTTCCAATAAAATGGAAAAATATATTTTAATTCCGAGATTGATTTATTATTCCACAGTGACTGTGGCGCAGTGGGAAATGTATTTTTTTTGCAACCAGATAGTTGTGGGTTTGATTCCAGTCACATGTTCAGCTCTTAACCCCAAGTTGCAGCCAATCTGCATATGGATGTATGAATGAATGTGATTGGTTGCCTGTAGCTCTACTATAAAGCAGTGTGATGAGAGAAGGGTCATGTAAGAGTTTGAAACAGTGTTGAGTTGGCCGAGGTTCCCTGTCATCCTGAAGCTTTGGGAACGCTTCAGCCATCTGTCTGTCCAGACTGATAGATGTCTGCGACTTTGTTTCTATTCAGATCAGTTCTTGAACACATTGCATGATGTGCTGTTTTGTCCTTTACTGGACTTCATCAGGTCCAGTCAAGGGATTCTGCTGGTCCTGCAGTAATAAGACGTAGATGTGGACGTAAAGTTGAGATCATCTTACCAGTGAATGTGGTTAATTCATGATTTAGCGAACAGGCAACATCTGACTGCTATCCAGTTGCTCTGCTGACTTCTACTCTACTCTATTTGCACAGATTGCTTCTTAAACACGGTGAAATAATAAATATTTACAATTTGCTTTGGGATTTTAGAGTTAACAGTGTGTATAACCAGAGCCAAACCATTCCTGCCAGTACGTTTCCACTCTATGTAAAGTGGTTTAGGTAAATAAGACTGATTGTGCTCGACGGGCTGAGAGAAAACAGCTCTTACTCATCTGACGTGAAGGAGTTCTGCTCTGCTCTCATTTGGATTTATGGATTATTGATGATGATGATGACACAGTGATATGATGAAATGTCTGCCTTGCAGCCGCTGAGCATCCAGGGCAGACTGAAGTTCCTCCACGGTCAGAGTCGGCAGAGTGGGAGCAGCCCTCCTCAGCTCGCCCTGTTCGCTGTGGCAACGCCGCTACAGCCTCCTGCCATCCTGGAGATCCGGACCAAGAACATGATCTTCAGAACCAAACACAAACTGGACTTTACGCCGATGGCCTGCGACGCGAAGTACGTCCTGCTGTGTCCTGAAGGTCCGCGCTCTGGTTGCTCTGAGTTTAACGGTGTGTCGGTTTCTTGGTTCAGAGGGAAAATCGTTCTGGGTTACACCGAGGCTGAGCTGAGGATGCGAGGATCCGGCTACCAGTTCATCCACGCCGCTGACATGATGTACTGCGCTGAAAACCACATGAGAAGTAAGTCCCAGCTGCTGCCGCCTGATGAAGGGTTGCTGGTGCAAATGACTGGAACTCACTTCACTGATGACCCGGTTAGTTAATGCAAACCGGGTCATCAGGTGCATGCATGGCTGTGGTGCACAGAGAAAACCTGCACACACATTCCCAAACATTCATCCCAGAGATCCCACCACTGGGAATGTTGTTTTGTGTTCAGACGTTTCACCGCTCAATGATTCTTAGATGAAAAAAGTTTGTTTCTGCTGGTTTTTATACCCGACAAATGTTTTTACTGCCTACAGACAACATCACTGCATAATGGGAGTCATGCAGCAGAAGGAAATCTTTAGTATTTATCCCTGTAATCTCCCAGAACACGAGTCAAAACAAGGTCACGGAACTAATCACCGATAACAAATAATCCCCATTTTTCAGCTTTACTTCAAACCAGGCTGATGCTCTCGCAACATCCACGTTTAAAGCCCTGAGATTCCTCCTGACAGTGGATGCTAAATGTTGGATTATTAGAGGAAGTGAACTATAATGTGGTTTGGATGCATATGTTTAAGCCAAGCAGACCGGAGACCACTTCAAAAGCAGGAAGTGGACTAAACGCAGGGCATTCTGGGTAAATACAACCAAAACAAATGGGTTTGAAATCTTTTGCCGAAGATAAACACTAAAATTTGAGGCCATTTTAGTTCACATTTTGTGAAGTTGTATTCAGTGTCTTCTTCAGAGGTTTTTGTGTCATTTCTTTTCGTGGTTCTTGATGCAGCGCCCCTACAGGCGAGAGGGGGAACTGGTTTGTTTGACAGTGCAGAATGAAAGCGAACTGCAGCTGCTGGTGGTCGTGACTGTTGAACCTTCCTGCTGCGTCTTTACTTGTGGTTGAATAAACACACACATCCAAACGCAGCTGCACCATCTCAGCTGGCTGAACAACCGAATCGCAGATTAAAGAATCACTGAACTTGTTCATAAGTTTGTTAGCTCGTCGTGTTGTCTCATGTGCTTTCAGTGATAAAGACGGGCGAGAGCGGGCTGACCGTCTTCAGGCTGCTCACCAAAGACAACCGGTGGAAGTGGGTCCAGGCCAACGCCCGACTCGTCTACAAGAACGGGAAGCCGGACTACATCATCGCCACCCAGAGGCCTCTGGCGTTAGTGCTCCTTTGAGATTCTGCTGCTTCTGTTGTGAGTTTTCCTTCACTGACATGTCTGTTCCTTCAACCACAGGGAGGAGGAAGGAGGAGAACACCTGAGGAAGCGATCTATGCACCTTCCCTTCACCTTTGCCACCGGAGAGGCTCTCCTGTACCAGACCAGCCACCCGCTGCACGGATTCCCTGATTCCTCCCACGGCAAAGCCAGAGGCAGCAAGTCCAAGAAGGGCAAAGTGGACAAGAGTTCCTTGGATGAACTGAAGCCCAACTCACTGCTGGGGGCGCTGATGAGTCAGGATGAGTCTGTGTACGTCTGCCAGCCGGACGCAGAGTCTCGGACGTTGTATCATGGCAGCAGTGCTGCCGAGTCCGATAACCTGTTGAGCAGCACCAGCTGGAATATCGTCTCCAACCGGGAGATGGGGACATGCAACGGAGACAGCTTTGACCCTCTTCTGTCGACGTTGGACTCTTTGTCACTGGACGGAGAGGAAACCTGCTCTAACAGTGAGCTCTTCAGTGCTCTGGAGAGTCTGGGCCTAAACGCAGACGACCTGGAGCTGCTCCTGCTGGATGAGCGGATGATGAAGGTGGAGCTGGACCCCAACCGCGTTCCCACTCTGACCGACCTTCTCACCAATAACGAGATCCTCACTTACGTCCACGACACTCTGCAGAGTGAGATGGAGAACGAAGTCCCGTCTTCAGACCCTGACTCCGCCGTGACCCCGACTCAGCCATGTTTGATGCCTGAAGCCGCTTTGGACGGCGCCGCCTTCAGGCAGCCCATCGTCCAGCTGTCGCAGCAGATGCAGCAGCACATCCAGGCTGCCTCGCATCCCGTCGAGAATCCAGCTGGTTTATCTGACAGCCTCTGGGTGGACCACCATCTTCAGACCCCACTAACTGGTCCACAGCTGGACGCTGAGCGTCTAAACCCACATCTGGAGTCAGCATGGCAACTGCAGATAAACACCGAGAGCACAGCTTCATCGAGCTTCCAGAACGGATCTTACCTTCCAAACCAGAACACGACTTTCCCCTTGAACCTGAACATTAGCGTCCCAGATTACTCTTTAGACGCATGCACCCCTCTGCTGAACGGCGAGGCGACGCTGGGTGTGCATCAGCATCAGGATGGGAAGACCACAGCGGCCACGCCCACACATCTGGGCCAGCAGAAACAGAACCCAGCTTCCTGTTTGTCCCACGGAGCGCCGCATCTGGAGCAGCAGCGGCGCGGCGTGTTCGGCCCCGCAGCAGAGGGGAAGGTGAGACGATGCGAACATGATGTTTCATTTCCTGTTAGCTGCCAGAGTCCAGCTCCATCCATCCGTGTTTTTAATAGCTCAACATTTTGTGTCGTGTTTGTTGCTGCCTCTTGGTCTGGACTCCCTTGAAGAGGAAGTTTTGAATCTCAATATGTTTTTATTCTGGTAGATTAAAGGTTAAATTTGTCCGTCCATCCTTCGTACTCCATGGTTTTTGCCCCAGGAAGCCGAGGTTCTTCTTCTTTGCTCTGAAATGTAACTGAACATCAACACACCAAGAGCTGCTGGATCTGCATCCCTGCAGCTCTGTGCTGCTCCCTTTCCCTGTCGGGAAAATGGATTATTTGATTTCCGAGTCGGCTCAGGAGGCCCGGGGCCGACGTGGAGCTCAGAGTAAACCGCCATGATGCAAGTGGACGTGTCGTGTAAATAAGATGAGGAGGAGATGGGCCGGGCCAGCACTGAGTCAGTTTAAATTCAGGAGCCTCACATTTTAGCGGAAGCTCAGCTTGCTTTGCGCTGACTGTTCAGTGGAAGCACAGCATGTGCATTTGGTGAATAATCTTGACTTGTGCTGGATTTATCCAAATCTGGCGGTGCTGATTGGATCCGGTGCTGCCCTGCAGGATTCTCGTCTCGTTGGGCTGAAATGTGTGTGGGCAGCACCAAACACACACAGGACGGTTGGCAGTAAACACTGAAGGTTTCATTCTTGATTAAATGGAATAGAAATTCCTAGACATTTATTTCTGGCTTCTTGTGGTTCTGGTTCTGGTGGACACTAAGTGAACGGGTCAGTAAAGACTTGAGGGTTTAATGGGTCAAACCAAACCAAGAACTTTAAACCAGCATATTATTTACAACATTTGTGTGACTGGGGGCTGATGTTTAACTTGTTGACATTTTATGGACCAGAAGCAGTTAGTTGGACTATTTCCATTTGAAAATATAAATTTCTAACATTAAGGATTTAAAATGGTAAAAACTCCAAACCCTGAGGTTTATCTTCCAGCAGGCAGTCACACTTAGCTTGGCTTCAAATCCACAAACAGGAATAGAAAACATGAGCTGGTGTGATGTAAAGTAATTCATGATGTTCCAGTTTTGCGGATCAGCTGGGCCTCCCTGTTGCCATTCAGTGAGTCGTGTCTTTCCGAGCATGACAGCGGCGTTTGAACGGGGAAAACAAACTGCCAGATCGGAATAAAGACGGAATGAGTTATGAGTGAGGACGGGAGAGAAAAGTGAGTACAATAATGAATAGAATAAGGCCGGGAAGAGCCGCGGCTGGCCCCCAGAGACGGCCGAGCCCAGCAGGCATCCCTCCATCCCCGCCCTATTCAGGCTCCTCTGTTATTCTTCGGGGTCAGTGGCTGTCGCTGAAAGAAAAATACTGGCATGGGGGCCAGTCAGGCATGAGCGCCGCTGACCTACAATTTATCTGTCATCATTACCTAATGCTGCAAACACAGGCCGGGGCGGGGGAGGCAGCCGTGCAGAGAGACACGGCTCGAAGCGCTGAGACTGTCTGTACAAACTGTCTGTACACAGAGATACGTTATCTCTTATTTAACCAGAACACAGTGTCTCATATTGTCTCGTTGGGCTCCTGGTCTGTACTGTCACATCGCCTCCATGTCGCAATTTCCTTATAGTTGAAGATGGCATCTGTTCATCCATCCATCACCTGATGAGAGGAGGAGAGTTGAATGCAGAGTTCATGCAGCAGACTGGAGCAAGTTCCCCTCAGTCTCCATCCCTCTGTCCTCCTGTTGCTCCTGACCAAAAACTCAACCAAAATGTTGAAGACGAGAGAAAAACATCACGGCCAGCAGAAGGTGGGATCCAGGAAGCCCAACACTCAGACGAGACCCTGAGGTTCCTAAACCAAACATGGGACCTTTAGCAGCGGCAGGAACACTTCTGCTTCCACTTAGCGCTTTGAAAACATTTAGCTTCCTCTAAATTACTTTTCTGTTGGCGCTAATTTACTGCTTCTTAAACTTTCAGTTGAATAAACTTTACTGTCTGTGTCAAAGTTTTGAAAACCAAACTGTTAAGCATCTTCAAGTAGTAACTTTTAGTTAACTCTACAAGTTAACTAAAAGTAGATTTTTGTTCAAAGTTCTGGTCCAGTTGGACCAGAACTTGGATGGTTCTGGTGTCGACTTTTAGTTTCCTGTAACCAGTCGTGTGAATCATCAGCTCAGACCTTCCGGTTTTGTTTCTAACTCTTTTTACTCTCATAAAAAGAAGGAAGCAGAGCGTTTGAGGAGATGATAAGGAATGAAATGAAACCATCTGAAGGAAAGTGTGGTTTGTTTCCAGGTGGAGAACGGCTGCCTCCTCAGCGCCGCCAATGTCGGGTACGTCCGGACGTGTCTAATTCCTGGTCCAAATGGAGTGGAGGCTGATGAAGTCTCCAACTTACAGGAGGCCCAGAAGTCTGGATTCTTCCTCTGACCGGACAGAGCAGGACAGAGGTGGGACAGACGTCAGCGTTTTAGGGAATGATCAGGAACTTTGGACCAGATCATTTTCACAACCATGGTTCTGATGTCTCATCTCAACATAAACCTGCTTTAGTCAGGAGGAAAGTCCAGGAGAAGACCTCTTTCACTGAGTCTGTCCAGAGTGAGGGGACATCCCGAATCAGATGTCCTCCACTCAGAGCAACTGCTGGAAGGTTTGAGGTTCTCTCTCCTCGTTACTGCTGCTTCTATCCCACCTTTTAAGATTAATATCCTCTTATGCAAACAGATGTTAGTTTAATATGAGCGCAGTCTGAGATAATCTGCAAAGCTCAGAGTCAGAGAGCATTTAAATCGTCTAAACAAGAAGCTTTAGTCAAGAGTTTAATGTCGTCACGTGGTGCAAACACGGGCAGGAGATAAACCGTCTTCATGGCCTATCAGAAGAAAACTGGACCACAATCTGCAGTATTTTAAATGAAAGTATATGTAGTATTTTCAAGAACATTAGGTGTTAAATTAAGAAGAGATTTAAGCAGAAGGCTAATGAGATGACTTAGATGTTCTGTGGAGACGCAGTCAGAGAAACGGGAGAAAATCGAAAAGCATTTGTTTGTTTGGTTTCCAAACTGGAGGCGTGAACAGAGCTCCAGTTAATGCCTTTCCTGGAAACAAACACCTGCCGAGTGGCAGAAAACCCAACTGCACTCACAGCCTGGGCAGCCAGGAGGACCGAACTGTAAATACGTTTTCTGCTTTTTGTTTCCATGAGTGTTGAATTGACAACAGAGAGCACATAAAACACTGACCGGCTCTACGGGTTCTGTTCAGTCAGGGTAAGAAATTAATTACACCCGCTTTTAACTTTAGAATATGTTGATTGAGGTTTGAGGGTCTGACCACAGCACTGGTTGAGGTGTAGACTTTAACTAGGCCATTTTAACACCTTGATTCTTTACTTTTCCAGCTGTTCTGCGTAGATTACAGACATGCTCACATTTGACTTTGGAAAAGCATATCCTGAAAACTAACGCAGGGTGCACTTTCCTTTTGAATTGACTGTATTTAAAACCAAGATGTTTCTGTGCTACATTCTGGTGCTACTTTATCAGCGGTTAAAGCTGGAGGCTCAAACCAAACCCTGAGGAAGACAACGCCGTCAGAGCTCCTCTTCTCTGAAGTGAAGAGTCTCTGTTGGTTACCGTTTCCAGTCCAAGTGAATCTGGAGTTACCAAACAGCCAGAAGGAGGTGGTCCAGTCAAATATGCAGAGCTACTCCAACATTTACTGCTCTGAAAGATGCGCAAACCGTCTGGAAGTTTCAAAGATGTGTCTTGGTTTTCTGGCACAAACTCCACTTTTAGGTATGTTCAGCTTGGTTAAGATCAGAGCCTTCGGTGGACATTTCCAAACGATAAGATTAGCATTAAACCAGTCTGGACCGGTCTGGATCATTGACCAGGAGCAACACAAAACCTTGTATCCATCCCAACTTCCTCTGAACAAACCTCTTATTGTGACCAAACAGCTGAATCGTTTTCCTTGCCTGACCTTCGACCTTTGTCTGGATGGCTTCTTGCAGCAGGAACTCTGTTTGTTGGCATCTTTCAGTCCATCTCTAGTGTTTCTACAGATGTGGTTCACATCAGATCAGATGTGTCTTCGGACGGGAGCCGTTTGGGTTCAGATCTTTGGGTTCAAACTGCCATTCAGTAGAACCAGGTGTGAACAGCCTAACGCCCCAGCAGTGCTGCTGCCATGTTTCCTTCCTCCCACTGTGACGGACCAGACACGCTGCTCCTGAGGAACCGCAGAGTCCGTCACCCGGCCATCTTCTTTCTGACTCGGAAGCTGGTTCTGTACCGAGACGGGTCGGCGTTTAGCATTTAGCACCAAGTCGGAAACCAAAACTCAGATTCTGAACAGGGAGTAGATCCGGTGTTGAATGTTCTCAGAGTTTTTACGTGACAGGAAGTCGGTGCTTCAGGGCAACCAGCTGACGACAATCAATACGACAACAACAGGCATTTATTGATCTGCCTCGTTTGGTTTATTGCTTTTATACTTTAGTCATTTTTCATTTATAAAGCAGATTATTTAAGAGCACTTATGAGATCAAATGCTGTATGAAGACAAATTATAAAGCAAAGCATCGTTTTCAAAGAGGCTGAAACAGGATGGTTGTGTATGTGTGTGTCAAGTGTTTGGAAAGGTGTTTATGATCACTGTGCTTACAAACTCTCCCCAGCACTGAAGGAACTAAAAAAAAGCATTTTATTATGTAGAAATATTGTTATAGTGTTCTGGTTTTATGTTTTGGGGAGTTTGTCACTTTAGCTGAAACAAAAATGGTGCCATAAGAGTGAGCCGAAGCTTGCTTAGTTCAGTGTTTCACAATAAAAAGGGCACAAGAGCAGCATTTTATGTGTTAAAATGTGTTTTCTGATGTTCTTCAAACCCACTTTGTCCGGCTGTTAATGAAACCAAACTTTCCTCACACCGTTTTGTCCATGTTAGCTCATTTATTTTGCAACCTTTCTTCACTAAACCTCGTAGTTGTTTGTCAGACTTTTGTGAAAAAGAAAAAAAATGCAGTTTTTCTCTGAGATGAGTTTCGAAATGTGCTCTGAGATGCTGGAAATAAAGGATTTTGTGCAACCACATTCATTAGTTGCCTCTTTGCAACCAACTGCTGTTCCTCACCTGCCCACCAGGTGTCAGCGTAGCCCCCAACCCCAGCTGAATCTGGGCCCTGGAAAAACAATGTTTCAATGCAAGAAAGGAAGCAAAAGAAAGAAACTTATGGTGAGAAATTAAGGAAATAATAAATCTTTCTTCATATCCTCCTTCCAGTCAAAATTTTCCTGTAATCCACTGAGGCATTTGTTGGGATTTTTGTTGCTTTTAACTCATTTTTAGTCCTGACTGTTGTCCCAGATAAACCATCGAACTGTGAAATGAGAGTCTTTCAGGCACAAAGAGGCGCCTAAATTTAAGGAGTGACTCAGCGTTACGTCTGCACGGAAACGATGACGAAGCAAAAAGTTCAGAAAAACAGTTTGTCCTGACCCCATTAAATCACAAAACCGCTTTCCTTAGGATCATCCATCTGTCCGTCTATAATCAGGTTCTTTGTTTCAAACTCGAGTCTTTAAACCGACAGAGAGGATTAAATTGATGAAACTTAATTGCCAGCAACTTTTTGTTTGTGTTTACGTCTGGTCTGTTTAAAAAAATCCCTGAGAGCCTGAAAGCTGAAGTGAAGGGCAGCAGCAACAACAGCCTGAGGAGGCTTTTAGCTGCTGTTGCTTCAGCAAACACATCGTCTGCCCTTCTTTCTTTCGGCTTTTTGCACCGCGGATGTGTGAATGCACACACAGCCGAAAGCAAACAAACACACACTGAATCCCAGGGCAGTCCACCAGAGTCCAACATGGCCGCCGGGAAAACTGGGAGCTGTAAATATTTCTACCAAAATGGTTTCAGTTGCTTCAGAGTATAGAAACCATAGAAACCAAGAGGTTAAAGGTTAACCTGGAACACAGCCTCTCTTCAGTTTAGTTGCTTGATGCACCTGAAAATAAAACAGTAGCATCCAGTCAACTGATTCATCCCAGACAGAGAACAGAACCACTGAATCCGGTTTCTGTAGAAATTAATATTTCCACTATAAATATCTAAAGAAACAATAAAAATACTCAAAGTTAGCAGCAATAAAACCCAAGAAAATGATGCAGCGAAAACGAAGCTCTGCACAGAAATGGCTTGAAGAGAATAAGTTTCATTTTCACAGATTTAAACACCTCAATGAATTTCCCATAAAATCTTGTTTGGATTACAGCAAAAGAAGAAATAAAAATTTAAGTGTAATCTATGATAAAGATGTGAGTTAGTCAGAGATGTAGCTTCGTCTCTGCAGTCTGCTGTCCCTGAATGTTTCATGAGACTTTGTCTTGTGCTGCGGTTGTGTGCAGGTTAACTTTGCCCTCTTGTGACATGATCAATCATCCAAGGAAGATGTTGTGTGTCCCAGTTTAGTTCCTGCCTCCCACAGACGGCTGGAGAGGAAGACAGAGATCCCAGACGGGAACAGGCGCTGAAACACCGAGGTGTCGATGTGGAAGCAGAAACAGAGACGATGGCTTTAACTTGTCCTGTTGGTGGAGAAGCTGCTGAATCTGTAACCAAATAAACCTCATCTGAGTGTTTAACACCTCGGTCTGCTTTCAGAGTCGCTGCTGCTGCTGCAAAGAAAAGATCTGAAATATTCATCGAGCGTCTTTAACCACTCGGGCCTTCTGCCTGATGGAAATATGGCCGCTGCTGCTCCTGTGCAGGCGCTGACCTCCTTTCAGGATGACGCTCTGTTAAAACCTGCTCTTCTTTTTCTTTCAGCATCAAATTATTTCATGGGAAAGTTTCTCTCTTCCAGTGAGTTTCCTCCTGAAATGCTGGCCCTGCAGTTCGGATCGATGGCACACGGATTGATCTCCGTTTGTGTCTCTTGGTGTTGTGTGGCTCTGCAGCAGGACTCGCTCCTCTCCCTGTGTGCAGCCAGCCTGCTCCCGTCGGGCTGTCAGAGCGCGTTAGCTCCACCTCAACAACCACCAAGGTAAAACACCCGGCTGCGCAGCAGGAGAGCTCGATGAATAATGAACAGCGGCTTCATTTGGGCTCCTGTCGGCCTCCGCTACGGAGCAAACGTGGAGTTTAAGGAGAAACGACACGAGGAGTCGAGCTTAGCCGTAAAATGTCCACGTCTGTGCAGAAATACCCCGACATGTAATGTGTTTGTTTAAAAGCCTCCAGCCTGAGGGGCTCTGGCACAGAAACGTCCAGACGAGAAACAAAACCTGGAACACGAACGGCTGAAGGTGAGGAAGAAACATCCAGGCTGATTCTGTCTGAAAAACCAGAGTAAAGGAGTTTATTAGCACTGCGAAACAAAACTGTTACCATTTATAAACATCAGAAAATGAAAGGAAAAGGTCAAAGGTCATTCAGTCTAAAGCAGTTTATATATTCAGCTGAGAAAAGCGATTATAAAAACAAACTTTCTAAAACTTACTTTGATTCCAGCTCCTCTTCCAAAACATGCAAGTTATGTTTCTTCTAATCATTTTCACAACTTTCAGGTGACTTTCCCATATTTTCTAGAAATATAATTATATTTCTAGCTTCCTTGAAGTTTCTGTCTAGTTTTCTTAAACTTAAAGTTTATTTTTCCTGAACTTACATGTTCTTTTTAACATACAACACTTTCTTTGCAGATTAAATTGTACTTCCAAGTACTTAGTGAAATACTAAAATGAGATGAAAATAAACTTCCAGACTGTTTCAAAATACTTTCATAAATAATTTAAAGGTTTCATTTACTTAGTGAATCCTTCACATTATTTTATCTGCTGACCTTTGATAAACTTATCTGTTGCTCTTATATTTCACTGTTTTCTGAAACTTTTAGTTAATTTTGTTTTAATTCAACCATTCCTCCTGAATCTTATGGCTTCAGATGGACGCCAGCAGATATTTGTGCTGTCTGCTATTTTATGGATAAACTGAAAACTTTCAGCTTCAGAAACCTGTTTAATATGAAGTTTAGCATCTTTATTTTGAATATTACGACTTTATTCTCATAAATAAGAATAAATAAGTCTGGCCCCAACAGTTTTTCTCCTGTAATGAAAGAAATCATCGTTTTTGTTTTTCACTGAGGTTGAAATGTGTTTTAAGATCTGGAACAGCCTGCAGGGAGCCGACAGTCTGGACTCTGATCGGGTCGGTTGGTGGATCTGATCTGATCCATTCGGCTCCTTAACTCCATCTGAGATCCATCAGCTCCACTTTCAGTGTTTCCACAAAACCTGCTGCAGCTGGGCTCAACATGCAGCGTCTGAAAGGTCGCAGAGGACCTGTGTGTGTGTGTGTGTGTGTGTGTGTGTGTGTGTGTGTGTGTGTGTGTGCGTGTGTGTGTGTGTGTGTGTACGTGTGCAGCTGCGGCGCTCTGCCTTCGCCTCTGCTGACCTTTACTGGGCGTCGCTGCTGGACCTGCCGCCTCAGCGTGGCGCTCAGGTCGCATCACGGATCGCATGTTTGACTGACAGCTTACACACGCACACACACACACACACACACACACACACACACACACACACACACACACACGCCTCTGTGTTGATGATCACAGTCAGCTCTGGATCAGAACCGGTTGCAGTTTGTGCAGCGGGGCCAACAGGTGCTGAAACATGCGGCTGTAATGCGGCTCTGTGTTTGTTGTGCCGACTCAACATGATGAGGCTGAATTATTCACAGGTTCTCCTGGAAGCTGCAGAAGCTCCGGCTGACATAAAAGCTCTGGCGTCTCAGGGGCCGATCTCATGCTTGGCTGCAGAAAACTCAGAGTTTGTGTTCAGGAGAATGTGTGTGTGTGTGTGTGTGTGTGTGTGTGTGTGTGTGTGTGTGTGTGTGTGTGTGTGTGTGTGTGTGTGTGTGGTGTGTGTGTGTGTGTGGGTGTGTGTGTGTGTGTGTGTGTGTCGTCTGCAGTGGAAAGCAGAAACACAACCTTGACCTAGTTAACAAACCTGAGGAGAAAAGAAGAGGAAGAAGGAAGCTGGTTTGGAGGTCACGACCTCCTGCTGCTGGTCTGATGGATCCACACTGACACACAGACCACTGGAGACTCGGTGTGTGTCTCAAACACACACACACACACACACTTCATCAACCAGTTTCTTTATCAACTCACCTCACACTGGAGCCTGTGGAAGGGCTTCAGGATTAAACCAGTAATCTTTCTTTCGCTCATCTGTCATTTTCTTCCAGTCCTTCCAGTTTGGCTCCAGACTTCCTGCTGGTTGATGATGGTCGGACCTGAAGTGAGTTAAAATGGGAGGAAACCAGAAGATCCCAGTGGAGCTGGTGATGATGAAGATGATGGAGTGATGATGGTTATTCTGATAAATGGGTTCACACCCACTCAGGGGTCTGGTAACGTGTGAGCTACTGGGAACCAGTTCATGATGGTTTCTCTGTGTGGATAATGAGGTTTTATTTAGACCAGGTTTTATTTTCTAGAGTCCAACTCTTAGTTTTTATTTACACTATTTTCTAGATCTGAATTTATTTATTTTAAAAGGTTTTTTATTTTCTGCAGGAACTTTTATTTTATTTTCTTATGTTGATTTTAATTCATTCAGGAAATTCAAATATTCCAGGATTTTATTTATGAACTTTTGTTTTCTAAAACGAAATCAAAATTATTCAAACACCTTTTAATATTCTTGGTAGAAGTGAAATCAGGTGTTTTTAGAGTGTTTCTGAAATCTGGGCCTTTATTTGATTCTAGCAAACAGCTACATCTTTAGGACTTTACAGTAATAATAAGCCAATGTGTGTGTGTGTGTGTTTTCTGACGGGTCTCAGTCCTGACTGAGGACTGATGGCGGCAGGGACAATCTGTCCCCCCGCTCCGCCTCGGCTGCCAGGACGGATCCACAGTTGGGTGTGAACGGCCATCACTGCTGCCGTCTCCCACTTTCACACGAGCTGTATGAGTTTTCACACACTGCTGGTCAGCAGCGGCTCCGTCAGCAGCGGGTCCATCAGCAGCGGCTCCGTCAGCAGACTGCAGCTGATTTGGGAGGACAGATGTTGGAGGTCTGGTTGAGGTAAATGAGGTTTGACTCATCAGATAAACTCATTTAGAAATAAATCTGTGTTGTTCTGGATGCTGACACATCCTGTAGATTTGGAAAAGATTTGCTTATTTTGACTTGGTTTGAAGAAGTTTCCTCTTGTTTTGTGGCGGCCTCTGTCGCCCTCTTCTGGTCACAACTGCAAACTGCAGTTTGAATTCAGCACCTTTAAACATGGCGACCTGACCCTGGTTTTCATTTCACTGATTTTCAGGCACGTGCAGAGGGGGGGGCTAAAGGGGCTTGAGCACCTGCCCCTTTTGCTCCATGACCCCAAGTGCCCTTTTGCTCTTTTTTTTTTCTTACACATGTACTTCAATTATTACTATATTACTATTATTATTACTATTATTATTATTACTTTGCAAAAAAAAAAAAGAAAAAAACACAATAAGCCCTCCGGTCACATTGTTACCTTTGACCTTTTGCCCGTGACGTACGACGCACTTGCCTCTCGCGCGGTGAGATGAGGCGGCTAACTGCTAGCGAACGTTCCAGATCACAAAACAGTTTTTGGTGAACTGAAAAAAATATTTTTGGTGAAAAAACTGGAGTCGGCTTGCTACTGTCAGATAACGGAAAACGTTAAATGTTGTATCGTTTCTCCTTCAGCACGGAGTCGCGGTTTAAGCAGAAATGAAATATAACAAGAGGAAAATATAAGTCTCTAAGTCCGCCTTTCTCTGAATATCTACTGGAGGAGGCAGCCGGTGAGGAAAAGCTGGTCTAATCTATCGATCCAGTATTTTTATCATCAGATATTACGCTGTTGTTGTGCTATGAGCTAGCTGCTAGCTAATGACTTTGCTAGCAAAGCAAGATAACTAAATTGTTAATAACAGTAGTCATTCTTCAGTATTACTTATGCAATAGGGGCACATCGCCCGTCCAAAACCAGAATCATCTCCATCATGGATATATGTCTGATTTTCTCATTTTATTTGGTGAATGATGTACATTCATTATTCTAGCATTTAGGTAAATATATATTGAAGGAGAATTTAAATAAAAGTCCAACAAGGATATTCATTTAGAATGAAAAATAACTCATCCTGAACTACCATAATAGATATAATGTATGTAATAATCAAACTGCTTCTGTCCAATAAAAGCATGTCATTAATAAAGGGGCAAACATAAACTTTTATTTGCACACATCAGAAATCTTTGGTTCTGATTTTAGGCTCATGTGAGAATCGCAAGAAAAACTTTGAATAACAAGCAAAGATTTCTGACATGCGCAAATAAGTTTGTTTTGCAAATAATTTTTTTTTTTCATGAGATAAAAATTTGTGATTTCAGTTTAAAAAATGTTACAATTCAAAATGTCTTGATCACAATTTTATATTATTTAATTGAGGTTAGTATTTTAATTGAATAATTGTGAAACAAATTGAACTCCATAGAAGAGGTCTCATTTTCTCTGAACTTAATATTGTTATGCTATGGACTGAAAAACATATTGGTTTAAACATAAGGCTAAATAATTGGTAGTGTGGTTTATTATAGTGTTCTGATCATAATTCTTTGTTTTGCTTTTTTCAGTTCAAAGACGCCACGTAAAGAGAGACGTCAGAAACAAAAAAGAAAGGCAGTGGATTGTTGACCAACTAGGTCGACTGTACCAATCATTCACAATGAGGTTATTAACATTTTTTAAGACATGACCAACAGAAAACTGTTGCTATGAACAAAAGAGAACAAAAATAGCAAAAAATGCTTAAAAGTTTGAAATGTGTTTTAAACAGTTAAAAGGCAAGAGACTGAAATAAACAAGACTTCACTCAACACAGAGAAGATGAGACAAAGGAAAAAAAGAAGAGGAAAGATTGAAGAAAATGTACATAGGTACTTACAAAATACACTAAAACACAAATAGAGTAGTCTTTTCTCATAGTGACACGCATTAATTAAATTTTTGCTTTTATTTTTTTTTTCTACAGTTCCATGTTAAAGTTTGATGCAGCTGTTTTTCTGAATGGACCGTCTTCATCTCCACTGCAAGTACAGCAACCGAAGCAGATGTTCTTAGATTCTATGTCTCACAATTTTGTAATTTATCATTGTTAATTAAACTCAGAAAGCTGTGACTTTGTTAATATTCTGTCCTAAAATGCGATTAGATGTGCCCTTTTTTTGAGCACCTGCCCCTTTAGTGGTCTCTGCAGGCCCTGGAAACAATGAAGCTGTGATAAAGATTTGCGTTGCTCTTAAAGCAGAGCACAGTACATGCTGCCATCTGGTGGTTGCACAAGGTAACCACAGTATTAATTAAACCTTTTTCAGGAGATCAACCTGATCCCACATTGAATCTATGAAAAAGTTCAAACTATGTTAACATAATAAAGAGAGGAAATCTCATAAAAGTTGTTTTTGTTGAGTTCTCCATGAGAGTGCAGTAAATGAAGCACAGGGGGGGAAAAAAAGATTATTAATAACTTTATTGAATCACCATATTCCAGGAACCAGCATTTTAACATAATTATTAAATGACATGATAAATAAATAAGATACAGCACATCTATCTGAGGTCCGGTTTGTATCTTGTGGTAAAAGAAAATTGCACAGTAAAATTATTCAAAAATTTTAAAAAAGACTGTAGAGTCTGAATAAATAAAGCATCCCAGCAATAATATTCCCTGATTTGAAAACCGCAACATCTTTCCAAAATTCTTTAGATTCAGTGTTGACCTGAAATTAGTACATAAATTATGTCATCAAATTGCACATCATCAGAATAAAGTGAAAATAAATTACCACATGATGTAAAACCTCATTAACCTTTTCAATTTGTAAAATAAAGTAAACAACTCACTCGCTTATGTGTACAAAACTTACATTTTAAGATAAACATGTCAAAAACTTTCTTTTCAGATATAAGAATTTTAAAAAATTGCATTTAAATTAGTGTTTTGATGGAACATCCATCTGTAAACTGGCTTAGTGTCAGAAGCCACAATGTCCATCTTATGGTCCAGACAGGGACTTCCTGTTGGTTGACAGCTGCGTCAAGACATTACAAACTTCCTGTTGTCCTTAAAAGGAGTTTTGTTGATGATGTTGTTGCTGAAGAGTCTAGAAACAAAGCAAAGCAGGGAATAGATGTGATTCTTTCAGAAACACCAAGGATAAACTCCTCTGATGAACGTTTGCTCACCTCACAGAACCAACGAGGGGGTTGATGGAGACCAGGCGGAGCAACCAATCAGTGGAGAGATCGGTGATCTGATTGTGACCCAGACTGGAACACAAATGCAACACTCCACATTATGTGGGGTTCTACTGGGAACATGTTGAAATTAGGTGAGATCAATCCCTACATCCTGGTATTCAAAAAGGAAATTCAGCTGCATTATCCACTAAAAAGCCTTACAGATTAAAGAAGCATTTGAAATTTTAGAGGAGTTGTGGACATTAAATTAATCGGTACAATAGTCTCAGTTTAAAGTTTGTAAATTTATGGGAATTTTAAAAAGCCCAAAGTTATTAAAACAACATCCGTGTGACACTAAAACCTACTTGCATCAGTGTCCAGATCTAGTTGTAATGGAGGGAAAGCGGACGTTTAACGACTGTGCTTTGTGAAACTTCACTGACTGATGGTCACTCGATCTGGCTGAGTCATGGAAGAAAGAGGATGGTCATAGTTTACCCCTAAGAACCAAAACACGTCTTCTCCAGAAATCCAGCTAAATAGTCAGTGAAAATCCTGAATTGGTCAGTTATTAAATTTGGCTGAAATATTGTATTACTGGGTCATCTGCTCCACTTTGACTGGATTAAAACCAAGGGAATGTTTGTGTTGGGCTCCCCAGATGAAACAGTCTGCATAACTTACTCCAGGATGTGGACTTTGTGCAGATGTGCGCTGAGTTGCAGCAGTAGCTGGTCTGTCAGCTGGCAGTGACTGAGGTCCAGCTCTCTTACGTCTTCACAGTAGTCCAGCAGCAGAGCCACAGCTCCACAGAGCCTCTGATCCAGTGGACAGTGACTCAGGTCCACTTCTCCTCCCAGGGCTCTGCACAGGGACGCCGCCCGTCTCGCCGTGTCCCTCTGATTGTTCACGGCCAGCAGAGACAGAAGCTGGACCAGGACCGTTTTACTGACTCTAAACAGGAACAGCAGAGCAAACCACATCGACGTCAACGTCTACAAACTTCTCACTGCTTCGGCTTCCTCGGCTCTATCGCCCACCTGAGTCGGACTCTGTCCAGGACAGGAAACAGCAGGTCCAGCCCGCTGTCCTCCACCTCACAGTCTCTCAGGTCCAGCTGTGTGTCCCCGCCGCTGCTGAGACTCAGGACGGTGGAGACGGCCCTGCAGTCGGCGGCCGTCAACCTCAGAGGCTCCGTCTGATCCTCCTCCTCTGGTAGCTCCACGCAGGAGGAGCAGGAAAGATCCAACCTGTGCTTTAGAGTCCTCAGCAGGCCTGATGCTGCCACCTGGAGGCTGTCAGAGGCAGCGCAGCAGTGGAGGAACCTCAGCAGGACATTCCTGTCCACACTGGTGGAAACACAGAACAAAGAAAACCAGCCAGGTGATGAACAGGAAATGTTTCATCGTAGGAAGGAGGCCTGAGGACAGGATCTGATATCTGACCTGAGATAAAAACTGTGTGCAGCGTATAAAGGATGGACTGGATTCCCTCTGCTGGGATGGAGCTCCACACCAGCTTCAGTCTCAGTTTCCTGTCGCTGTATCTGAGGATGTACAGCAGAGCGTCACAGTCCCTTGAGTCCAGCTCAGTGCAGTTCAGGTTGATCACATGATCCAGTGACCTCAGCAACCAGGGTATCGTGTTACTGGGGTGAGTCCTGAAGATCTCCCTGATGGACGTCCTGACAAAACTCGGACTGGGCCTGGAAGCAGAGAGAGGATTCACCACAACGCCGTTAGTTCCAGGAACCACAAGCTGCTGATGGAATATCAGAGCAACTATTGATTAGAAAACTAAACCTCCACCTTAGAATCAGCAGCCTGTGCAGGAAGAGCAGCAGCTGAGCAGCTCTCTCCTCTAAGAATTGGTTCTTCCTCAGGTTCACGGTGATGATCTGGGCTGTCGGCTGCTGCAGCAGGAAGTGAAGAAGCTCCCAGCTCAACCGGCAGGAGCTCAGGTCTCCGCCGACCTTGTTCAAGAGGGAGAATGTCCTGTCTTGGTCCTGGACCTCGTGGAGGACACCCAGAAGCTGCTGGAGTTTCTCTTCCCTCAGTCTGCAGAGATCACAGGTTCAACTCTGACTGTGGTTCTGATCCGTTTACTTTCTGACAGACATGATGAAGACGTTCACCTGAGTCTGAGAGGAGCATCGTGAAGCAGCAGGCTGAACAGGCTCTGAGCGGGGAGTCCGGACTCGGTCAGGTCCAACCGTCCCACCGTCCAGAACCTCAGCAGAGACGCCAAACTGCTGCCCACCTTCAACAAGACTCTCTGTGGCTGAGCTTTGGTGGAAACCACAGAAAGCTCTTCCAGGACCAGAGGAGAGGTCACTCTGCCTCTTCTCACCCACTGAGACAGGAACAGGACCAGACTGTTGGAGAGTCTGGATCAGAGACAAGATCAGAGACGACGGACATCAAGAACTGATGGTTCAACAGCAGATAAGTGATGAGAAAGAGACTTTGTTCTTCAATTTCCTGCCTCAGACTGTGGAGCTGTGTGGTAGATCTAAAGAGGAGAGCAGCTCCTCTGGCGGACATCCGGCTGTCTGTGAAGATCAGATCCACTTTAGATGCACAGAGAGGGAGAACTTTTCCCACAGACCCGCAGGTTTTATCATTCAACTCTCCTATTAGAAAAAGTTTGAAGTTCAGAAGCTGCAGGAGAGAAACCAGCTGCTGGATTTCCTCTCTGTATCTCACAGATAGAGACGAACAAACACTCTGGAAAAACCTTGGTATACACCTGAAACAGAGAAACCATGGAAAGATAAGAAAAACAAAACTTTGTGTTATTCTAGGATAAATCCTGGAGTAATAGGCCAGAGCGCTCTCACCAGAATCTACCGGTGCCACCGCATCATGTTATAATGAAGCAATAACAGATAATAACTGACTTCAAAATGTAATAACACATTTTGTAATAATCAACACAAAAATCCTTTCAACATCCAGTAACAGATCTTTTTTTTTAAACTGTTTTCCTCATTGATACGTTTAAATAAATTATAAATATAAATACTCTGTCTGTTTGCTCCTGGAATGTGAGTTTCTTAAAATAATGTTCTGCTGGAAGCGACAAGCAGATACCAGATGGTCTGCAGCAAGAATGATAACTGGCCTGGCAGAATAAACAACAAATAATTAAGGGTCAAAGTTTATGAACCAGAAACACAGGAACTGTACATGAGACCACGGATGCACAAGACACCTCATTGTTCTGTGGATTCATCAGTTCCTGCATTTTTTCAAAATAAGGAAGTGAACAAGAACTCTGAACCTTGCACTCTACATTACGGCAGCCTGAAGGTGCAACATGCCTGTGACTCAAGAGAACAGAAGAACCAGCAACGCTATGAGATTAACCGAATAGGTTATGTAACTAGGACCGCCCTAAGGAAATAAAAAGAGGGTGAGGCAGAGCGTGCTTCAGAACGGGTAGAAAATGTAACTGGAGCAAGTTTCTGTCCTTTCTCCTTGCACAAGTAAATCTAAAACTCATTTGTCTCTTTTCAAACAGGAAGATAAGAGGTATACCAAGCATACCTAAGCATGTTTGAGGATGATTAGGTATTAATGTAGATGAACCTGACATTAATTTGGTCCTTTGAGCCGGATCCCAAGACACCGAAAGATTCTAGCTGGCCAGGCTAGAATAGGAGTTTGGCTCCCTGACTTATTTCAGAGTCGGGGAGCTTATTAATCTGAACTCAACGAAGTGGAAGAAAAAATTAGTCTGGACATATCTAGAGGAGTCCAGGGCTCATTTCATAAAATTTGGTTAATTATAAAAAGCAACTGAAATCTGACGATGTGATATGAAACATTGCAATGAAGTTGGTATTAGGCTCTAACAAGTACTTGGAAAAATGAAAACAGTTTGAAGTGACTGTACCTGAGCTGTGAGATAAAAGGCAGACATTTTAGGAAACTCCTCACTTCACTCTCTTCATGTGGGCAGTCTGTCACCATTACTGGTTGGAATTCCATCACTTTCAGGAGGATGGAGGTCTTTCTCTCTGAGAGCTTTATGATCCAGACTTCAGGAGCTGATTGGAAAACTGACTGTAATGATGGAAGGAGACTCAGACCTGATTTAGTCTCTCTGTCCTTCAGCTGGGAGTACAGATCTAGCAGGAAGTCACTCTGATATTTTATGTGTCCATATTTAAAATTAGCCATGTATCTGTCATTAAAAGGAAATGTTTTATATCTGCAGACTGATGTTAACGTTTCCAGCATCTTCTCTCCTGTCTGCTGTTCTCTCTCTGCTGCTGCACAGAACAGATTCACTAAGAACCTGGTTTGTTCATGAAGATCTGAGCTCCAAGGATCAAACCTGTAACAACAAGTAGACATGAGGTTGACTTCATGTAGGAAGAACTTCCTTTATTAACCTTTTTAATCAGGTTGCAAAGGAGAATTTATGCACACGACCAATTAAATGAGAATGCAGTGTACAGTATTCATATAATTAAATATAATGTCTGTACCTGAGCTGTGAGATAAAAGGCAGACACTGCAGGAAACTCCTCACTTCACTCTCTCCATGTGAGCAGTCTGTCAGCTCCACTGGTTTCTTCTCTGGTTGGAGTTTCAGCACTTCCAGGAGGATGGAGGTCTTTCTCTCTGAGAGCTTTATGGTCCAGACTTCAGGAGCTGATTGGAAAACTGACTGTAATGATGGAAGGAGACTCAGACCTGATTTAGTCTCTCTGTCCTTCAGCTGGGAGAAAAGATCCAACAGGAAGTCAACCTGATCTTTACCACCGTAACATAAGGGGAATGTTTTATATCTGCAGACTGATGTTAACGTTTCCAGCATCTTCTCTCCTGTCTGCTGTTCTCTCTCTGCTGCTGCACAGAACAGATTCACTAAGAACCTGGTTTGGTCATCAGGATCTGAGATCTCAGGAACAAACCTGGAAAAATAAGATAACATTTACCAGACACTGTTGATTGGCTAACTTGTAAATTTATGTTGTATTTGTGATGAAATAACTGAACTCTCATGATTCATATTTCTATTAAGTCCTGGTGTTAATTTTTCACATGTTCATCTCAAACCATCAAATTTTCAATCTTTTTTGGCACAGAAATTTGTTGTGAACAATGTTTTCTTCTGAAATTTACTTTTAACATAATTAAGATATGACTGCTTGTGAATGAAGTTTGAATTTTATACCAAACAAATCTTAGAGTTTGACAGAAAATACTGCCATGAATATGCTGTGTATGCAGGTTAAAGTGTTGTTGTCAGAACTACAATTAAATCAGTGTGAAATAAAGTGACTGTACCCGAGCTCTGAGATAAAAGGCAGACACTGCAGGAAACTCCTCACTTCACTCTCTCCATGTGAGCAGTCTGTCAGCATCACTGCTACCTTCTCTGGTTGGAGTTTCAGCACTTCCAGGAGGATGGAGGTCTTTCTCTCTGAGAGCTTTATGATCCACTTTAGGAGCTGATTGGAAAACTGACTGTAATGATGGAAGGAGACTCAGACCTGATTTAGTCTCTCTGTCCTTCAGCTGGGAGAAAAGATCCAACAGGAAGTCAAGGCGATCTTTGGTGGCATCACCATCATTCTCCGTTTTTTCTTCTTGAAAACTAAATGTTTCATATCTGCAGACTGATGTTAACGTGTCCAGCATCTTCTCTCCTGTCTGCTGTTCTCTCTCTGCTGCTGCACAGAACAGATTCACTAAGAACCTGGTTTGTTCATGAAGATCTAAGCTGGGCTCCTCACCGTCTCCCAAACTGGAACAACAAGAAGGAAACACTTAGTGATGATTTGAGCAACTCAACATTGTTTTTACACATATACAGGATAACAGTGTTAATACAAACAAAGTGAAGTATAATGTCTGTACCTGAGCTGAGAGATAAAAGGCAGACACTGCAGGAAACTCCTCACTTCACTCTCTCCATGTGAGCAGTCTGTCAGCTCCTGGTTTCTTCTTTGGTTGGAGTTTCATCACTTCCAGGAGGATGGAGGTCTTTCTCTCTGAGAGCTTTATGATCCAGACTTTAGGAGCTGATTGGAAAACTGACTGTAATGATGGAAGGAGACTCAGACCTGATTTAGTCTCTCTGTCCTTCATCTGGGAGTACAGATCCAACAGGAAGTCACTTCTATCTTCATCATCAGCATGGATGTCATCAAAAGGGAATGTTTTATATCTGCAGACGGATGCAAAACATTCCAGCATCTTCTCTCCTGTCTGCTGTTCTCTCTCTGCTGCTGCACAGAACAGATCCACTAAGAACCTGGACTGTTTATCAGGATCATAACTGGAATCATCCCAGTCATCCAAATTGAAGCTAGAAAAGTGAAGAAAAATGAATGATTTTATTAATTTACTCCATCTTGTAATGCTTGCTGCCTTATCAGCACTTTGACACAGACTGATATCTAGAGGTGGTTGCTTCAAGTTGAACACAGTGATGTTGAGGAAAGACATAGAAAATGCCGAAGTGAATGCAGGGTGGAATATTTTAAATGGAGTTACAAATTGTGAATTATGTTTTAAAAAATTGACACATAAGAAGTCTTTATACTTTATACAATACTAATTACATTATTAATAAAGTTAAAGAGTCTTTCGTTCAATTGGGGCACAATAATTTAGAACCATGGGGAGAAAAAAACTTTTCACACAAACCACAATAATCACTGGCGCTCTTATTTCAAATAACGGCTGGGAATTTATTAACAAAAAATCCCAACTTTACAGCTGAATTATTGAAATAACTTCTTTCTCCAACTACAAACAAGCAGTCTAGCTACTGATGGATGAAACTCTGGCCTGTATCTCGACCTGAGGCTCCCGCATACTGCAGACTCATGGTGATTGATGCTTCATGACAAATGCCTTCATTTCTACAATCTAATAGATATTTGCAAGTTTTATGAGCTAGTTGGGCGCGCAGTGCCATTTCTTCTCCACTAGGGCACAGTGGCCTTTATATTACATATATTGGCCTCAAATTAATCAGTGTCGACCCCCAGAAAAATAAAATGTCCTTTAAAAAAAAAAGATAAATCATCATAACTCTTTAAAATAATAAGTAGACTATACCGAGCACTGGGTGTGTTCATCTAACCATGATGGGGTCGAAAGGTTCAAGTTAAAGCAACATGGAGTCAAATGTCTGTACCTGAGCTGAGAGATAAAAGGCAGAAACTGCAGGAAACTCCTCACTTCACTCTCTCCATGTGAGCAGTCTGTCAGCTCCACTGATTTCTTCTCTGGTTGGAGTTTCATCACTTCCAGGAGGATGGAGGTCTTTCTCTCTGAGAGCTTTATGATCCAGACTTTAGGAGCTGATTGGAAAACTGACTGTAATGCTGGAAGGAGACTCAGACCTGATTTAGTCTCTCTGTCCTTCAGCTGGGAGTACAGATCCAGCAGGAAGTCAAGCTGGTATTTATCACCAGCTTTAAAAGGGAATGCTTTATATGTGCAGAGTGGTGCCAACATGTCCAGCATCTTCTCTCCTGTCTGCTGTTCTCTCTCTGCTGCTGCACAGAACAGATTCACGAAGAAGCTCCTTTGTTCAGGAAGAGCTGCACTGCTGTAACAAGAAGGAATCAATTAGTGTTTCTCTTATTTCAAGTGTAATAATGCAATGCACACCTTGACCAAAATACTTGGCAAGATTGTGTGTTTTTACATATTTCTCTGTTGCGATTATGCTACTGTGAGATGCTTCATTTGTCTTTTTGACATATTGGGTTGTTTAGTTTTTCTCTGGTCTTTCCAAAACGCTTCGTCTTCTTCTGTTACATTATATATGGAAGTTGCTAAATCTTGGATCATTTGATTCAAACGCAAAGAGCAGTTGACTTACCTGGATTCATGTATCCGGCTTGACTTGAGCTTCAGCACTTTGAAGAGTATGACGATGGCTCTCTGTGACGGCGGGACACTCAAGCCTGTTTTAAGCTCATAAGAGAACAACTCCAGCAGGAATTCAGACCATTTCTGTTTAAGAGGTGCCTCTCTATAAATGTATACTGATGCCAACATATTCAGCGTCTTCATTTCCTTTTGTTTATCTTTCTCTGCTGCGCAGAACAAACTCCGGAGAAAATGGATTTCTTCAGAAGCTTCCGACACCCAAGGCTCAAAGCTAAATAATTCACAAAAATATTTGTTTTTAATGGTTAAACTAATTATATAAAAATAATACAGATTCAAAACTAAATGACTGTACCTGAGCCGTGAGATAAAAGGCAGACACTGCAGGAAACTCCTCACTTCACGCTCTTCATGTGAGCAGCCTTTCAAAACCACTTGTTTCTTCTCCAATTGGACGATCAGTTCTTTCAGCATTAAGGTATTTCTCTCTGAGAGGTCCATTATCCAGACATTAGCAACAGACTGGAAAACCGACTTCAACAAGGGAAACAAACTCAGGCCTGTTTTCAACTCGCAGTCCTTCACCTGACCGTACAAACTCAACAGGAAAGCCTTCTGTGCTTGCTCGTTCATATCTGCTTCGCTCACAGGTGTTATTCTAAACGTGCAGACTGACGCCAACATGTTCAGCATCTTCTCTCCTGTCTGCTGTTCTCTCTCTGCGGCTGCACAGTACAGAGTCACCAAGAAGCTGGTTTGCTCATGAGGTTTTGACCTCGCAGGAACAAAACTAGAGCAAAAGAAGAAAAACATTTACAACCAACTTTAATATTTAACCATCATAACATATTGTTTGATTCTTAAAAACTATCCTGCTCCAATAGAAATAGAAATGCAGTTGATGTACCTGAACTTGGATACATAAGGCAAACACTTTACGAGGTTCCTCACTTCACGTTCTTCATATGACCAGCCCTTCACCTTCAGATGTTTCTTCTCTGGTTGGAGTTTCAGCACTTCCAGGAGGATGGAGGTCTTTATCTTTGACAGATCTAAAGTCCAGATTTCAGGAGCTGACTGGAAAACTGACTGTACTGATGGAAGGAAACTCAGACCTGTTTCTGTCTCACAGTTCTGCATCTGGGAGTACAGATCCAGCAGGAAGTCACGCCTACATGTTTCATCGATGGATCTGCTATTGAAGGGAAAATGCTTGTAACTACAGACTGATGCCAACATCTGCAGCATCTTCTCTCCCGTCTGCTTTTCTCTCTCTGCTGCTGCACAGAACAGCCTGGTTAAGAACCTGGTTTGCTCAACAGAGCTGGACCAAAGAGGAACCACACTGCAACAACAACAAGAAGAAAAAATATCATTTAGACGACGTAATTCATCATAAATTAAATCTGAAATTTCTTTTACCATTTAGCCAATCAATCTCTATTGCCTTTTGTAATTTTAGCACATTTACTTCACTTTGAGGCCGTATATATAGTAGAAAAAGCAAAATAAAAAATATTATACAGTGACTTTTTTGCCCATAACTCATTGGTATTATTAAAGCTCTGTCTTAAAATGTGATATGATATACATTATAAGATGAATAATATCAAACTCATTTACCTGAGTTGTGAGATAAAAGGCAGACACTGGAGGAAACTCCTGACTCCAGCCTCTTCATGCGAGCAGCCAGTCAGATTAACTTGTTTCTTCCCTGACTGAAGTTTTAGAAGATCCAGAAGCATGGAGGCCTTCGTCTTTGAGAGGTTAACGAACCAGACTGCAGGATCTGCTGACTGGAGGACTGATGTGAGTGATGAAAACGTCCGGCCTGTTTCAGTCCTAGAAGAGTACAGGTCCAGCAGGAAATCATACCATTTCCACTGGAGTGGGGTTCCTTTATACATGCAAACTGATAACAGCTCCAGCATATTTACTCCTTTCTGCTCTTTCATTTCTGCCGCAGCACAGAGCAACATTTCCAAGAACCAGATGCTCTCTGATGACTCAGCCACAAAACTGGTAAAAGACAAAACAAAAGTTAAGTAAAAAAATCTGCAAACCAAAAGAGAAAGTATTCAAGTTTGAAATTGGGAAGTACCTGAGCTTTGAGAGATAAGGCAGACACTGAAGCAAGTTTCTCATTTCACTCTGGTCATGTGAGCATCCTGTCAGCCCCACTTTCTTTTTCTCTGATTGGAGTTTGAGCATTTCCAGCAGGCTGGAGGCCTTTCTCTCCGAGACATCTATGAGCCAGTCTGCAGGGGTTGATTGGAAAACTGGTCGCAGGGTTGGAAAGTCAATGGAAAGCCCTCTGCTAATTGCATGTTGATGCAAGTCAAAAAGAGTATTCACCAAGTCAGTTTTAATCTGACAAATTGCCACAAGTTTAGGCATCATAGTATGAAACTTTTGTGTGCTGTGCAGTGCTGTTGTGAAGCATAAATCCAGGAACATGCTCTTCTGATCCTTTTCCATTGTTTTGTTGCATTCTTCCTGGTTCATTGAACCTGCAGATCTGTAGGTAATCCTGAAGGTTCATAAATTAAACATCTTGATTTAGTTCAGTGCATCACAATCTGAACTCATGCACATACAGGACTGCAGGTATAAATTAGCTTGTGCTATAATCTGGTAAAGAGCATTAAATGGTGACATTTACATTTGAGCTGCAAATATAGAAGTGCATTGTGAAAACTGCATGGGAGTTCTGGTTTGACAAGGAATTATGGCTAAACCGTCATTCATCAACAATCAGAAATGTAAAATCAACATATATAAAACATTTTTAAATGTTTTAGAAGAAAGCAAATGAACTGACCTGAGAGAGTTGATGTACGGTAAAGTCTCTAAAAGAGCGCTGCGCAAAATCGGGCACAGTGGATCTTTTCTGTCCCCGTAGAGGCAAACATTCACCTCTGTTGCAATCGTGTGCAAAACCTTCACAGCTTTGTCAACCAGCTTTGTTTTACTCACAACTGGGAGGCATAGCAGGTTCCCACTGAGACCCAGTAAGGTTTGGTAATCCATCTGTTCTTCACTGAGAAGAAAAACTTTCCACAGCTGCTGTTTGAGAGTATCGTACCTGTCATTAAAAGGCAAATGCATGAAAATGTTTATTTAGAGCCTCAGTCATAAAGTATGCTAGTAAGTATTACAAAGCATATCCATTCATACCATTCAACATTTTGAAGACATGCAAACAGATGTCTCATTCCTTGTGCTGTGATCGTCGCATCCTGAAGGTTCAGACTTATTTTCCTTTCCTTTGACTGAGTGACCACATAGGCCACAGCACAGCAGGAATAAGGGTCCAGATTCGCTCTGCTGAGGTCAAGATGGAAGTTCAGTTTGTCCAGAAAGGAAATACAGACTTCAGAGCTCTGTGACTCAAACAAACACTGGTATACAAACAATCTGTCTACAGTGAGCTTCATGTCAACATGAAGCTCATTAGCAACAGCCTGATGGAAAAATGTGTCAATCATTTCTTTGAAGAACCATCCAGATGTTTCCTTGATCTCCTCAGCTGGAATCAGACAGCTCATCAAACATGGACTCTTCTCATTCAACAAACGGCACATGAACGGGATCAGATGCTTCATGTGTTTCTTCTCCTCAGTGAAGCATTGCTGCAAAACTTCCCTGATCTTATCAGGATTCTTCAGAAGCCACAGAGCTGCAAAAAACTCCTGCATGGTGTAATGGAGGAAAGCATTGAGAGTTATGGTTTCAGTAGAGGAACTTTGCCATGGAGTGTTTTCAGGAAGGAAAGGACGCAGGTGTCTTCACAGGAAAGTTCTCCCAGGTTCACAGTTTTTCTTTCGGTTGCATTAAAAGCAGCTTCAGCCAGAGACAGGATTCTATTTCTCTTGGTTTTGATGAACTGACTGAGATTCCTGATCCCGGTTTTGTTGCTGTTCATCTGAAGGCCAAATCTAACAATATTGATGTATATTTCAGTCACAGTTCTGGGCTGCAGAGAGTCTGTAGATGAAAAGCTGGCAGCCACCATCAGTGCATACATTGGAACATGACAAAGGGTCAACAGCTCCAGTTACTCAGGACCTCCTGTGATTTTCACCCAGAGTTGAAGACAAATATGTCTTGATTGTTTCCTCACAGAAGCCTTTCACCTCCACTCTGAGCCAGTCTTCAAGAGAGAGGTTTTCCTCATCTTCTGGTCTGCAGGTAATGATGATTTTAGCATCAGGTAAGAAATCTTTGTCTACAAGTTTCTCCACAACCGATGGAGAGAGATCAGTGACTCCATCCAAAATGACTGTAACATTATCAGAGTTGCTCTTTATATCTTGCAAAACTTCATCTTTGCCCTCATCTGGTTCACTGCATGCAGTGAAAAGAAGATCCTCCAAACTCCTGATTGGTGGGATGTTGGTTAATTTCCTCATGTCAAAGTAAAACATGTAATCCAGCTCCTTATTGTCTCTTTCTGACCACAGTCTCAATATTTCATGACTCAGCGCTGACTTTCCAATTCCAGGTTTCCCAACCAGGAGGATGTTTTTATCTGTTTTCAGCAGGTCACTGGGGGAGATTTCTGGTTTATTCCCTAGAATATAAGTCCTTAACTTTTTAGGACGGGGCTTCTCTCTTCTAAATGTCCTTATTTTTGTTGGAAAATTCTTCCCTTGAAGATCTAATATAAGTGAAGTGTACAACAGTTCAGGTTTCTTGTTTTCTGCAAAAAGATAATCACTTCTCTTCCAAAAGTCCTTTGATACTTTTTCTGCTTTTGATTTCAACTTTGCTTGATATCTGTAGCATGGCCTTGATTCTAAAAAGAAAAAAAAAACATTCATATTACAGATGGAAGCATTTATGTCACAAATGCCACTAAAGAATTAGTACAAAAATGTGACAATAATTACCCTGTATGTAGTTTTCATCCACTTCTGGATCTTCTGTGAAGGAAAAGCAGCTGATCCAGTGGTGCAGGTCAAACTTTGTCGCCCCAGTTGAAGCTTCATGACTGTTCTCAAAGAGAGGAGTTGGTCTCTCTAAGGTTCTCCTCCTTGTCTGATAAATAATCCTTAGAAACACGTAGCAGGCTGCTTCACCTTTTCTAGTGACTGAGTCCAGTATCGCTCTGGTTCTATCATAGTCATCTCTCTCTGCATTTATCTTGCAGATCTCTTCATCAGTGAGAACGTCTTGCTGATACAAGTTCTCAAGAATCACTGACAGATTCCTCAGTTCTCCAACCAGGTAAACTCTGGCATTGGCAATGTAATCTTTCGCAGACTGATTTGAACAAGCCATGACACTTGACCTCTCTTCTGCACATAAACCAGATGTAGAAACATTTACGTAAGTTGGGTGCGTAATTTAGAACTTACCCAACGTAATTTCTACATTAAATGTAGAGCTTACCTGTAACGTCTACATTAAGGGTAAACCTAAGGTTTCAAATGATGATGATTCATTACCTTCCTAGCATACTGAGCTAAACTTTAAACTCCTGAAAATATGTTTACAGATCTCTGATCGTCTTTCACAGAAAATGAATCACAATAAACACCTTGTCCTACCTTTACACGGAAGTTCTGCAGTTATGATCAAAGTCAGTTAATGACAGGGGAAGTTTTTGTTTTGAAATGACGTAGACAGTCGACCGGAAGTAGAAAACCTCACCTGAACCTCCTTCAAGACGCAAGAGATTAATTAGTCGTTTCAGCGAGGCGTTTCTTTTGGGCTTCAACAACATAAACGGTAAAGATATCCATCCAATTTTACAGAGTTAAAGTATAAAAACACCATCTTCGCTATGGGGCTCCATTTGTGTCAACATCTAAACAGTTCCTGCCTCGACTTCAATCTGAACGATTCAGTGAAAACACACGAAAATAAAACCCGTGGAGACTCTTTAGTCTTACCAGTGTGGTCTCTTTGTTTTCCCTTTGTGTTTCGTTCTGACAATATTGTTTTGCGCTTTTACTTTCACTTTGAAGACGAAACTCTTAACATCCACTAGAAGGCACTGTTGGACCAAAAACACACCAAACTATTCGCAGCGTTTATCAGCAACCAATATCAGGTGTGTGAAGCAGATCAAGGTCACGTGATGCTCAATTGAATCATTTGAGCTGCAAGGGAGTTCAAATGATTAAAACACTAACATTACATTTCATCAAATGCCATCATCAATATCACTAAAATCATCAAATATGTTAATGTTCCAGTTGTTTTTAATTAAAGGCAACGCTAAAACCAGAGGTTAAATCCTTAGAGAAACACTAAGTGGACGATTGATTTTTCAAATATCTTTATATTTTATATAAGCAGACCTGAGAAGACAATGTTGCAGATATCAATGCAACAAACATAAATGCATGGATGAGATTAGATCATAATTGTCAAACTCCAGTCCTCAAGGTCCTGTGTCCTGCAGCTTTTAGATGTGCCTCTGCTGCAACACCTGAATAGAATAATTAGGTCATTAGCAGAACTCTGGAGCTCTTATCTACAAGAAGGAGGTAATTAAACCGTTTCATTCTAGGGTTTTGTATCTGTGGCACATCTAAAACTTCAGGAGTTTGACGCCTGCATGCTAACCCATGAACATAAATAATTTAATTTTAACATGGATGAAATTCGCTTGGATCTCGGCTTTATTTAGAATGAGCTGGTACATCACCTCCATGTAGTTTGTATTTTAGATCACCAGAGGGCGCTATTAGACAAACTACCGTCACCAATAAACAGCCACACACCACTTTTTATACATTAAAAATATAAAAATGAGCAGGAAACCATTTCCCAGATTTACTTTATCTGAGTTCTCACCGGCATCTAAACACAATTTATAATCTCTGCTGTTCCTGTAAAAATAAATTTCTTCAAGTTGCTTCCCTGGAGAGAAAATATGCCTCAAACTAACCAAGTCAAATCCAAGACTTACTCCAAGTCAACTTATTGAGTTGAACACAAGAAATAATAAAATAGTAAATTTGCACAGAGAATAAATCAACAAATCACAACTGAATGGCTGAAGAAATTACAACAAGTTACATCTCATAGGGATTGATGCACAATTACTGGCTTACAAAATAAGATGTTTAGTTTTAAAAAATGCTAAAATATGTTCCTATCTTTATGCTTTTATTGTAAAAAAAAGAATCTCAGCAGTCCTTGTTTGTCCCTCTTCAGTCGTCTTTGTCCGTCTTTAGAGGCTCTTTGGACTGAAGTGCCACATCGGAGCCCACAGACTCGTCATCTTCCTCCTCATCATCCTCCGTCTCGTTGGTGACATACGAGCCTTTTTCTCTGGACAGACACCACAGCAAGACGGCGATGGTGCAGAGGAAGACCAGCAGCACCACAGTGATGACGCCTGCAAGGAGACATGATAACAGTAAACACTGAAGTCCATCCCTGTTGAATTCAACACGTTTTGCAAGAACTCCATGAAAAAAGAATCAAATCTGGTATAAAACTAATCGAATGTTCATAATCCAATATGATCAGGTGAAATTGATATCAGATTGATATCAGAGTTTGATTTATTCCAGTAGAGAATAAATCAGAAAAAATTCATTTACAGATTACGATAAATTAAACTTTCATATATATTTTAGAGGAATTAGCTTTTTTAAATTTCATCAATATCTGGAATAACTAAACTAAGTTGTTTAGTTTTTTGACTCAAAATTAAACTTTTTACTCTTCATTGTTTCAGAAAGTTGAACCAAAACAAAAGTAAAACTTCTCACCTCCGATTAAGGCAGCTAAATCCTCTGTGCTGCTGTAGATATCTGTAAAAACAAAATCTATTTCAATTCAACACATCATTTTCAGAGTAAATGCTACATTACTTAAAAATGAAATAGTCTTTTCGCTGTAGTTCACGATCCAAACATTAAACCATCAACCAGTTTTATTTCACGTGTTTTTATTGTGATAAGTTAAGTTCTCCAGGGCATCTCTGCTAATAGCCCATGTTGGACCCGTTGCCCCCTGCTGTGGAAACCACCGCAGCTGCTATCAGTGTTTTGACACTCATCTCCACAGCGACACGCCCCAGAGGCCTAACGCTGATAAGACACTCCCTGCTGCAGCCATATAGACATATGCATTAACTGCATTTGATGAGCTCACATCATTCTTAGCTAAATGCTAAATGGTTAGCAGCAATTAGCATCTTTTAATTTAGCAGTATTTTGATCTTAGCAATCTTTAGACCTTATCCTAGCAGCATTTAAAGAGGTAAAATTATAGTGTTTTAAATGCTAGCTGAAGTTGAGGTTAGGAGCAATTAGCTTAGCAACTTTTAGCTTAGAACCATTTAGCTAGTCAATGCTTGGATTTTAGCTTAGCCACTTTTGGTTTAGTAGCTTGGAACAGATTTAGTTTTACTTTTGCATCACTTTTCTGTTCAACTATTAGCTGAGCAGATTTTAGAGGGTTTTATTTGACTAATAATTAGCTTAGCATTGGTTAGTTGGACGATAGTAAGCAGAAAAAAGTTTTTTTTGTCTTTTTTGTGTTTAATTCTGTGACCATATGTGTCGTCGTAACTAAACTCTGAGATTTTACAGGAAAATGAAGCTGAAACATTTTCCAGTTAACATGTTACAGCTTACTAAAAGGCAAATCCTCTCTTTTCTGTTTCATCACATCATTTGCTGTTATTGTGGCTTAATTAAACATATCAAATCATCCCCTTAAAGGCTCTGCAGCTACTTTAGTGTCAATACTAAACTGACATACACTCAAAATAGCAGACAGAAGCTGTTCACACTCTTAAACTCTCACAGTTTTATTAAACTGATCTGTAAGGAGACGGACGCACCTTTTTTCCCGATCTTGGTCACAAGATCTGAAACAGTTGAATAGGCATCAGTTGATGTTTGAGTCAGAGGAGAGGGAGTCGAGTAAGAGCTCATCTTGACCTGGAGAGGAAATAAACGGGTTTCAGTCGGAGTTTGATGGGAAAGATGTTCATTTCTTTATAAAATTAAGTAAATTAAAACCATTATTTTCCTTTTTATGAATTAATTTGATAAAGTGATTTGTTTTTTTATCTTTGATCTTGTTTTGCAGCTGTTGCAAGAAAACCTGAACTTGTTTTGCACTAAATTTAGGATAATTATATATTTTGCATTCAAACTTCCAAATTTCTGTAAGATAAAGAATAAAAAGCTAACACAGATGTTCATTATTTATTGCCTGATGACAAAATTCTTGCAAAACTGCAAAGGATCATGGAACAATCCAGTCTTGTAAAAGAATTTAGTGTTCTTCACCTCCTGAGTCATAAACCCTAGAGAGAGACAGAAAGGTTAACTGAGAGCGTTAATGTTTGTCACAATGAGAGTCATGCTTCACTTAACTCTGACGCGGCTGCACAACATCAGCAGAAAAACAAACAAATGAGCCTCAGTCTGAAAGCTGCTGTGGTAGTTATATTTTCTATCAAGTCTTAAATGTCAGTATATATGAATAACTTTCTACTTCATCAACATGTTTAAGAACAATTATCACTTTCTTGTTATAAAATGATGAAAACTGAAGCTAAAACTGTTGGTAATTAGTTCAAAACATCAACATAGAACAGAAAATGAAGCCTTTACTTACTATTGATCAGTTTGCAGCAGTTTATGATCCAATAAGAAGAAACAGAGAAGGAGAAGAAAATGTTTTGGACACATTCAGACTCTCAGCTGGGTGTGGTGTTGCTCCCCTGGGTCCAGATCGGGCCAATCGCCGCTCCGACTCCGCCTCTGTGATGCTCCACAGCCTGCAGATGTTAACTCTGCAGCTCACAGCTTTCTTGCATCATCCTTGTTTATTAATATGCAGCATTAATGTCAAGCTCCCTTTGATGCAATGAAATGTTGATTCTTTTAAAACATTTCATGTCATTTTGCTGCAACAGATTTTCTGTGAGAAAGAGGTTAGACTTGGAGTAAAGCAACTTCTGATCACTTGTTGAACTAAATGTAGATGGAAAAGAAACATTTCAACATTTTATGGTGAAAATTATACTAAAGTAAGAGTAGCACAACTTCAACAGGTTTTTAATCAAGTAAAAGTAAAAAGTAGCAATGCAAGAAATGATTGAAGTGTAAGAAGGTATTTGGTAAAATGTCTGCTAACTGATCAAATTATCAATCATTTAAAATTAAAAAATTACAGCATTAGATGAGCCAAAATATAAAGTTCATTAGAAATGTTGGTATTTTATGGAGCAACATGTCAACAATTCATAGAAGTAATGAAAATAACAGAATCAGTCAGAAGAAAATGTTTCCAAATATTTTTTTTTTCAATTTAAAACTTATGTAACTTTGACAAAAACTGCAGCTTTGTGTGTGTGTGTGTGTGTGTGTGTGTGTGTGTGTGTGTGTGGGTGTGTGTGTGTGTGTGTGTGTGTGTGTGTGTGTGTGTGTGTGTGTGTGTGTGTGTGTGTGTGTGTGTGTGTATTTTTGGTTAAAACAGGTTTGTTTTTCATTCACAAAGAAAATCCATAAATTTTACTCAAGTAAGAGAAGAAACATGTCATAATAACTTGACTCAAGGAAACGTTAGAGGTACAACATAGTAAAAAATATTCCTAAATTTTTCTGTTTTTCAGAATATCATGTAGTCTCAACGTGTCCAGCAGGGGGAGCTCCTGATCCCTACATGGTGAGTTCTGTCCTTCCAGATAAATAAAGGAAATGTTCATTTATGATGACCTGTTTATACATCATAAATTATACATTTATAATGTATAAAAATTCAATCTGAAGTCATCAGCATAAACATAAACATAAAACAGATAAAAATATGGTACATGGTGCTTTAATAAAGAACAAAAACTAAAAACTGTGGGAAGAACGCCAAATCCAGAGCTTATATAAAAAGCTGTTTAACTAAATAAAATACTTTTATTGATAAATAATTGAGAATACTTCATCAAATGAATAAATGTTCCCATGAAATAAAAACAAAATAAATACATTGTTTACCAAATGTCAATCATATTTTATTTATTTGATGAAGCATTTCACTGCTTATTTATTCATTTCATAGTTTTATTTTGTGAGACTTATTTTGTAAAGTTACTCCATGTATTTCCTGGACTTTTATTTTTCTAGCATGAGGCTGGAACATGAGATAATATTTAGTTATTTGGTTTTGAATGAAACGGATCTCCACAGAATTTCATTAAGATATTTTAATAATCCTGCCTTTGGTCATAACATTGAGCTGAATTGATTCATTCAGTTTGCAATAATTTTGAATTTAAGTAAATCCTTAAACCAATAAATTACATCAAGTCACTTAAAAAATGAATTTTTCTCTTTTTACATTGATTTTCATGGGAAAAAAACACAGCTGGAAAAAATGATCATTTTCCAGAAGAATAACACTAATAAGAAAAATCAAACTGAAATAGAAAATATTTCCATTCAACTGTTTATGCTAACATCCTGGCATTTCCAGACTAGCTGTTAGCTAATTATGAGTCTATATTTAATTAATCTCTTCTAACAGCTGAAAAGAAGCAAAGTTATACAAGTAGCTCTGTTAAGTTTTAGATGACAAATATTGGTCAAAGGTGGAAACATTCAATAATATTTGTACTTTTTTCCTCTGAATGGGATGAAGTTGCTTTCAAACGATTAAAACTACTAAAAATAAAATGCTGTTATTGCTGTAAAGTTTTAACTTCTCCATTTTATTTGCTGCTACTTGCACTGGAAGCTAAATGCGTTCCCTCCTGCGTTGCCTCTCAGTTTGTGCGTTGCTAGGTTTCTATTTCTTTATATTTCGCTGTCGCTCCTCTTCGTCGCGCTCGCCTCACTCTTCCTCGTGCTCGAAGAACTCGTGGCAACAGACAGTAACCACAGAGACGAATGTCATGAACTCCTGGAAGTTGCACTCAGAGTCGCCGTCGGTGTCCAGACTCTCCATCAGGCCGTCAAGCGTGGACTGGTCTTTGACGTGCTGCCGGGTCAGAGGTCAGAGGTCAGGCGCTTGCTCTGGTTTCAGCTCTCAGAATGAAAACAACAGTTTGTCTCACCGCCATCAGGTCCGGCAGCTCGTCATGAAGGAGGTCCTTCAGCTCGCTCTTCTTCAGTTTGTGCTTGTCTCCTTCTCTCTCTGAGTATTTCTGGAAAACGCCGATGATGGTGGCTATCGAGGTCTCAAGGTCAGACATCGTTGACCTTCGACACCGAGAAAGAAAGGAAGAAAAACTGAAAGGTTTTGAAGTTATCAGGATTCATCTGTATATGTACATACAGTGTATGTTAACATAAACACTCTATTTCATAATTTGATTCAATAAGATACATTATTCTCAAGTACAATAAAATATGATTACAAAACATTTTGATATTATACAATGTGACATTATACTAATTAATTACACAGTATTTTTTTCCACAATAATTTAGGCCATTTAGCATAACACAAACATGATAAATTTATATTTTAATGTAATATTTTATGTTATGAAAATAAATGAGACAATATAATATGGTATAAAATAATAACATCATTATTTTATAATATGATACATTTATGTAATTTAATAAAATGTAATGAAACTTCAAAATAAACAGTTTTGTACAATGAAAACAGTCAACATTATATTAATGTGCAATACAACATATTAATCTGGTACAATATAACACAATATTTAACATTAATATAATATGATCTTACATTATAACATAATAAAGTACAATACCACACAATGTTTATGTTAATTTGACACAATATAATATTTGATTTGTGAATAAAAACCAAAGGTATACAATATGATAGGTTTACAATAATTTCATAATTCAATGTAACAAATAAATGTGATAACTTGATACAATATGATATCATTATATTCGATGCAAAGTAAAAATAAATAATAATTGATTTGAACTCATTTCAGACACAGTGTCTGTCTTCACCAAAGATAAATTAAAACAGATTAGAAACAGATACAGAATAACTCTAATATTTAAACAACTCAAAATCAAAAAGGTAAAAGTTTGGGTTAAAAACAGACCTTAAAATGTGAGTATATTTTAAAGTATATAACTTATTTATCTGCTATACATGTATTCTGTAGTCTTTTTCAGTCTAAAGGTTTGTTGTGCTTACCGTAGCTCCGATGCAAAGTGTGGCTGCGTTTCCAGACAGTGGAGGCTGCGGCTGCAGGCGCTGCAGGCTTTAAACAGACCTGAGGTCAGATCTGAGGTCAGCCATGCTGTCGGTCAAACCGCTGACCAACCACAGCCCAGCGCCTCCCCTCACTCCACTGCCTCTGCAGAAACTGCCTTTCTGTCTGAGCCGTTTGTTTTTGAGCCTCAGCAGCAGATACTGCAAAAAATAAATAAATGTTTGGTTGGAACATTGTTACCTGTCAACATGCAGACCTGACCTGGTGGGCGGGGCTAACAGTCAAACCTCTCTGGGTCGTAACTGGCTACATCTTGGGAAAAATGTACTTTTAGGAGTATTTTTACTGCGCTTGAGTAATTTTATTATGAAGTCTTTCTGATTTTATCTGCATAAAATTTCAGGATTTTCTAACCCCTGAATGAAAAACAGAAACTCACCTGCAGTTTCAGTTAAAGTTTTATCATTTTTTATCCAGATAAACTGATTTGGAAAACATTTTTTGGCCTGATTTTATGTTTTGTTACTATATGTATTACAACCATAAAATACCAAACGTTATATTTTGGTCAGTGTGATTCAGAACTTTTTACCAAATAATTTTTCACTTTTATTTGGTAATTTTACTTTTCGTTGAGTATAAACGTGCTAATTTCTGGGATTTTTGCCAACAAAAAAGTACAAAGGTTGACTTTCAGACTTTTGTGAAGTTGGTTGATCAACAATTTTCCAAGATTTAGGAAATCGGTTCAAATTATCTGGCTTTTAAATGATCTGTTGTTGCTTCACTGTGATGAAAACAAAAACAGTCATATTTGTTTGGTCCAGTTCTGGTCGTGTTTGAGCCACAAAGGCTGGTTTCAGAGGAAGTGGCTGGCTGTGCATGTTAATGAAGTCGCTCTTTTCACTGCTCCTCTTGGCCAGACGTGTGCCCTCCACCGCCCACAGAGAGCAAACAAACAGCCACACGTTCCCCTCAACAAACTGGGAAAATATTCCCTGTTAAATCTGGATTTTGATGTTTTTAAATCCACTTTCTGGTGATGTGTGGGCATCGTGACACAGCAAGTTTCAGGCTCTCTTCTCCAAACAAAACGCATCTTTGTTTGGTGATGAACGCAGACGAACTGCCGGCCGCTTCATTGTTCGCCTCAAACAATCCGAGTCTGTGCATGAAACTGAACCAACTTACTGGAAACCAGCGGCACACGTTCAGGCCCACTGGTTCTCACTGTAGCTGCTGAAAGAGACACAATCAGTGCAAATCTGTCACTTTAACTCACCTAAACTTTAGATTTTTCTTTTAAATAGAAAATTTTAATTATAAAATTGTTTATTTGTGTATGAATTGTCCTAAATCAAAATTTCAGTTAATATTATGAAACAATATTACATGAAATTTCACATTTTTGCTATTAAAAGATGTTTTAATCTTTTGTTTCTATTGAAAACAAAAGATTAAACAAATAATCAATTAATTAGAGTTCTTTAGTTTCATGATGCATTACAAGATGATTTCACCAAATCATCAAACAGATCATCAAACAAATTAACTTTATATTAATTTTTTACACTTTTTCTGAAATTAGCTATATTTTATATGGGTAAATTATGTTCTTTTTTGCATAAAATTAAGAAAATGATGGACAACTTGTCCATTCTCTTCATTAGATTGTCATAGAACAACAGAGAGTTTTCAGTCAGAGGTTTCTTCAAATTTACTGTAACACAGACTGCTACAGGAGATTTCTCCTGTCCACAGCCGTCAGAAAGAAATTGATTTCATCAGTAAAGTATCATTTAATTGAATTTTTAAAATGCAGCTTTTCAACCAATTTTTACATCATTTTATGATTGTATCTCCTGGTTTTTCTCATTTTGGTGTGTATGCTGGTTAGTTTTCCTCTCAGGATTAACTGGTGACGGTTATTGAAGTTTTTCTTTTATCTGGCAGCTCAGTCCAGTTTCTCCTGACGCCCTTCAGCTGCAGCTTTGTTCCTCTGTGTTTTGTGTCTCTTTCAGGATTTTCTCTCCTGGGAAACAGACGAGGCCTCCTGGGAGCCAGCCGGGCTCCATGAGCTCACCCGTCTCCACAGCAGCCAGCTGGCATCTCCTGCCAGGCTGGAAAAAGCTCCACCGGGCCGCTGAGTCACAAAGCCCACTGCTGTTTGGGTTGTTTTGCTTTTTATTCTAAGATTAGAACAATTTTACCTTTCAGTCTTTTCTCCACCTTCTTTAGAGGCATGCAATTTGAGTCTGACAGAAAGAATAAAACTTCAACGAAAGATAGAAAGGCGTTATATGTTTCTACCAGTAGGGGGCAGCAGCGTGTTGAACAATATTATATAGTAAATATACGTTAATTTTTATAATTTTATAGAAAACTATTTACGTTCTGAGTTAGTTTTACGAGTTATTTTCTTGTTGAACTAAATGTGATCAAGTCATCAAACAGATTAGTTTGGATATTGACATTTTATGGTTTGTTTTTGTAAAACTGGTTAAATTCTGCTAAAACAGAGCCTTATATAGTAGTCTTAATTATTTGTAGAATAAATATTTAACCGGTACATCTTTAAATAATCTGTGATTAGAGAATACATGATTGGAAATACTAAGAGAGAAGTAAATTAATATTTTGTAGACATTTATTCCCCATGTTGGCCCTCTTATTGCTCAATATTTCTCTCAGGATGGATTGGTGTGAAACAAACAAAAAAGAAAACGTCAAGGTTTTTCCAAACTTTGAAGCTCTGTTAAAACAGAACTAATTTATCTAGTAGAAAATAGATAAATTATTTTCTTTTAATTTATTTCAACTTCCTGGAATAGAAGTGTTGTTCTGCGTCTAACCGCGAGGGGGCAGTGTTTCATTATTTTATGCTCCTGTATTCTCTTAATATTTAAGGAAATATTTTTGCAAAGCTCTGTGGCTCATTTAAGTTATTTCAACGTTTTGTTGTTTTGTAGCCTAAACTTGATCGTCTCTGCTGGGCTTTCCGAAATAATTAATTACATTTTTATATTCTGTGAACTTTTTTGTACTTCTTACCAGTTTTGATAACATTTGTCAAGTTTTTTCAACATTTTCATTAAACGTGTTGTCATTTTGTGTGACTTAGCTTTTCACCACTAGGGGGCACCAGCAGATATTAGAATACGCTCAAAGTTACTGCTGTCCTTCCTGCGGCCTTTACAGCCAAGAAGCCTGATTTTTTAGATTATTTTCTAGAGTCTGATTACTATTCTGCTCCTGCTGCTGGAGGATTCATGCCGACCGATCGTTTTTCTCCCTGTGGACGTTCAGGGTTGTGCAGAGCATAAACAGTTACGGCTGCAATCAAAACACCCACTCAGATGATTTGTGAAGGTCTGCTGGAGTAGAGGAGACATGAAATCCTTCTTTTGTGTTTTAGCTCAGTGAACCTAAACATCAGCAGGATACAAACTGGTCACATTTCTCTCTGATTTGGGACATTTGACTGTTTTTTTTGTCCTCCATTGCAAAAATATATGTCTTCTGCTTTTCTATGATGTTATCAGATATAATTAACAACATAAATAAGGTCTCTGTATATATGACTTATTAACAGATTTATCCCTAAAAAGAAACTTCTGAATTTTTCAGCACAAACATTAACCTTATATGTAAAGACTTTTCTCTTTTAATGTTTTTATATTTTGTTCAAGTATGAAATGATGAGAATAACTTTAATTATTTGTTTCAACTCACTTCTTTGTTCATCAAAAATGAACATTTGTTTCAGCAGATCACTTTAAATTGCGTTTTATCTCGGCTAAATGAGTTTAAGCTTCCTGTCTCAGTAGAAACACAACCGGCTCTGTTTAGTGTCTCCGTTTCTACTTCACTATGACAACCCCAGAGCAGCCACCGCGCGACGGCTGCAGATTGGCCATCTCATGTCGCATTTCTGCCTAATCCCGTAATCCTCCCCTGCTTGCACTCTCACCACCCCCACGATCGGATTAAAGGCTGCTGACCTCAACACACAGACACAGAGACACACACACACACACACACACAGAAACCTGCTGGCTGAATATCTGCTTCCTGCTCACACACCAAAACAATTCATTCAACAACAAACATAGAATAAATAATTCAAAATTTTCCACTGATAATCTGTCATTTTAATTTCAGAAATAAATCTCCATCGTAGGCAGTCAACTGGTTTGCAAACTTGTCTTTCCTAGACATGAATTTGAACTTAAAGATGATTTTTTTGTCTTTATCAAAGGAAAACCTAATTATTTTCCAAAGGATCTTATTGTCCTTTAATATCTGTTTTATAACTTTAAATACAACCTGGATGCTGCCAATCGGTCAGATTTCACAAGTTGAGCTGAATTCTCTTTACTTTGACTTATTTTCATGATAAGTGACAAACTCTGTTCCAGTTTTTTTTATAATTTAATTCCTATTTTTGCAATTAATCTGCCTTTAATCTGCATTTTCATTCAAAATATTTGCAGAAAGCCTCTAAAAGCTGATTGTTCTTCTGTGATCTAAAACAACAACAACATATGGTGGAACTAAGCTGCCGACAGGTCAGAGAGCAAATCTTCAAACTCTTAAGACGGCTGGAACCTGGATGCTGCAGCACCTCAGCTGCCATCTTTAGGGATTAGGACCGAGCTGGACGTCAGAGTTCAAAAGAAAATTGATGTAATCTGGTCATCCGTTTAAATATCTGCATGTTTCTTGTAAGAACAAACCTGTCAGGTGTTTTTTTTACTTTATCTTGAGGAGCTCATTTGTTTTATTTTCTGTTCTCCACTGAGTTTCCCAAACTGACCTCACTCTGACTGTAAGAGCATTTTGCACAACTTCCAAAAATATTAAAATGAGAAGGAAACAAACAGTAAAGTCTGACCTGTCAGAAACAGGAACAGTAAAGTCTGACCTGTCAGAAACAGGAACATCACAAGGCTCCTCCATCTGAATTTGTTTTACTTAAAAGCAGCTGTGGAGGTAAAATGTGGCTCATTCAAAGTAACCAAGCTTTAAAATTGCAATAATATCCAGAGGTTTAATGTTTAAATACTGCTGCTGTTATCAAACGTCTCGTCTCCATCTCCAGCCTCATTTAGAGATTAAAGAAATCTCCCTGAAATACAAAATAAACCACAATTTGAAGCAATCTGTCCAGACGTTTAAAGCTTTCTCTAAATTAAGTGTGCTCTCCTGAAATGCAAATATGCAATCAGGGTTTAACTGTAAATCCTAGAAAATGCTGCATAAGGACCAAACACATGCCTCCCTCCAATCCTGAAGCAAGGAATAGCTAATTTGAGAGAAACGGGTTGTGCAGCATAAGCAGACGAGCTGGACGGGGCGGAGAAATGCTAAATGGAAAATGTTGCAAAGATTAGATAAATAATTCAGAGTTCAGGTTTTTGCAGTTCATTCCGTCACTTTCTAATCATCACTTTTAGAAAACTGATAAATTATTAGCTGAAAAGTAGATGATATTTTTGTTTGTTTTTTACACTTTTAATTCATATATCCAAACAAAATGTTTAGCTTTGCTTTGAGAACAGTTTGGTTTTCAAGGGGTTTCTTTTGGATTTACATCCAAGCAAATTCCTGGAGTTCTTTCCCATAGTCTACCTGGTTGACAAGCTGATGTCCAGTTATTCTGATGCAAAGTGAGGCACGCTGATATCGAGGCTCCTTGATAAAACCATGAATAGCAGGCTCCCCTTTTTCTCTCTTCACACAGTTCCCATTCAACCTGCATGAATAGATCCGTCAAAACCAGTCTGGGTTTCCAATCAGAGATGAACTCTGGGGTCAGCAACAGCTGCTTCAAGGACTTCATACCCAGCTGATTATTTTCACCAAATTTTACTCAAGTAAGTAATAAAATTAATCAAACTACAGCATCATCGAACAACTCAGTCCTTGTATCATGAAAACTGTTTTCAAAAGACTTATAAGGAAAACTTCAGCTGCCAGAGTGTTGTAATGACAACATTTTCTCATTTATAACTATATTTGAAAAAAACAACATCTAACAACTGTAGCAACTTTTTTACTGTTTTTGGAGTCTTTGGCAACAACAGGTGAAGCAGAAATTGTCTCTGCAGCAGCGAGAAGCGAGTGTTGCCATGTTCCCTTTCTACTTCTGAAACACTGCAGTCATTATTTTAAATAAATTTAAAATAAATTTAGCTCCTTCTTGTCCCTGATCTCATTTACAGCAAACAACTCTTTGAAAAATAATACCTAATTTATGAATTGAAGCACAAAATATGCCTTAATATGCATTGATATGCACAGTAGAAACTGTTTCACCAGCACCACAGCAGCTATAACACATTAATTATGTTTGGCCTTATGGGTTCAGCCAATCAGCACCAAGGAAAATTAATAGTATTATGTTGGTATTTCAGCTTCCCAAGCTGCATTTCCTGTGGATATTTTAGATATGAGGAAAATAAATGAAACTACATGTTAAAAACCTTAATGATTCATGACTGACTGAAGTAAACATTCAAAATGACTGATTTCACCAGTGAAATAAATAACAACATCATCCTTTTTTGTTTAGTTGTATTTCCTCTAAAAGTTTCCAAGGTGACTCCTGCACTCTGAGCAGATATCAGACTCTCGTATTTATTTATCTCTGGCCTTGGCATGTATTCATCATGTTCCCCTGACAGAAATAAAGTAATAAATCGCATCTCTCTCAGACATAAGGTAAAGCTGCTGCAGAATTGATCAAAGCATCTGCGTGCAAATGGAAAAAGATGCATCACCTTTAGGTTAGGGACCACTGAAAGAAGATTGAAATGTACTTGTTTTTGTTGTGTTTTCATAATGTATTAGTCCAGTGTTCAGGTTTGCTTAGATGCTTCTACAGTAAATGTATTTCCTGTAAGCCAAACTAATGCGCCATGAAATTGCAGCGATTTCACTGCTGTTACAATCCAGAGATGTTAAACGATTTTGTGCTGCGTTTTGGTGCCATCAGTGCTGTCACAGAGGGAGTTTAGCTCGCTGACAGCGCTTAATAATCTGACCCTCACTGAACCACGGCTCATTAACTGGACAGTCCGGCTGCACACATCATTAAACTTTCGCTTTTATTTATAGATACATGCATGCATGCAGCATTTACCATTAAAACCTCCTGAGGGCAGAATGTATTGCTTTCTTTCAGCTGTGTTTGGATCCATGCATCAGTGATAAAGAGTCGCTATGTGCTCATTAAAGTAAGGAAAAACAAAAATACATGTTCAAAGACCTCATTTGAGGTGCCTAAAAATATTTAATATTGAATACAATATAAAAAAAACAACTTTATACATTTATTAGTCATTGTTTTTATTTAAAAAAATATTTTGTGTCATCTTCTGGTCTCAAAAATAACTTGGATTTGTGGGATTTTCTTTTTCCATGATTTGTTTTTTATTTATTTATTTTTGTATCTGTCATGTATCTGTTATTTCACAATTTAAAATTGTGAAATAACATCTATTTAACAATAAAATAAAATATATAGATATTTCAAACATTGAAAATAGTTATGACTTTTTATGTTACCTTTATTGTAAAGTTTTTCATTATTATTATTATTGCAAAATTACTTTTTATTTGCTTTCTTCGTATATTTGGATTCATTTATAATTTTTGTGCAACCGTTTATTTTTATACAACTATTCCAACACTTTTGAAAAATATTTATTCAAGACTTGATTTTTCCATTTGTTCTACATATGCCTCTGACGTTTTGATGGGGTCACTAAATACTTTTTAATCTTGATATACAGACTTCATTTAGCTTGTTTTAATATACTTAAAACATTGAATTTACAATGTAATTTAAATGTAATTTGAAACAATTTTTTCAAAAGTCGCTTGAGAATAATTTAATAATTGAAATGTATAATTTTTTGAAGAAACTAATCTGTTGTTAAAATTAGATGAATGAATATTGATGTAATTTTGTCTTTAAGACATTTTAATTTGAACAGTTCTGAATCTGTACGCGCTGACGTACTGGCGTTCTTGCCCCGCCCCTTCCAATGACGTCACGCACTCCCCTCCAGGAGCGGAGCGTGTCGTTCAGTTTTCCGTTACACCGGAGCTGTAACCGCTAGAAATGGCTCGTCTGCTCAGTTTTCACCGCTAAAAACTTCGCCGACTCCAAATGAGATGCGCTGTTTGTCACTTTAATTTCAAATTTGCTTTATTTTTCTTTCCGGAGACAAATGAGTCGAGAAGAAACGTCAAAAGAGAGGCAGAAGAGTAGCAATCTTCTTCTCCTTCAGGTCCCGACACTTTGTGCTGGGAGCGCTTCCAGCGAGCCAGAGGTCAGTTCAAATTAACACAAAATTTACATTTTACTTCTTTTCCTTTTCAGAGAAGCTTCTTCTGCCTCTGTCTGTTATGTTTTTAATACTAAAGTTTGTGTGGATGAATTCGGCTGTACCTACCATATAAATATATTTCTGTTGCTGTATATAAACAGATATATCTACTTTGTGAACTGCTGTTTCATAGTAATTACAGTAAATATAGTGCCTCTCATTTTTTATCTCGATATTTGTGTTTCTGTAATGTAGATAAATATTTCTTTTGGTAAAACCTGCCTGATATTTCAAATATTTACATTACATTGAAACATTTGCCATTTTGTTTAATTGTGACAGAAATTACTCAGTAGGTGCAGGAAAACTGATTGTATTAAAAACAGCATCATAGAGTGTATGAAGAGTTCAGAGCCTTCTCAGTTGTGCCAATAAGGTCATCTGATAAGCTGAAAATCCTCTGTGTCTCTGCCACAAGCTTTAAGAAGAAGCATTTGTGCTTTTTCTTCACCATCATTCTTCTGTTCTTCTTCCTCTTCAACTCAAGGACTCATTCTTCCTCCTAAATCCTGCAGACAGCTCTTCCTCTATCGCCTTCATTTTATCCTCAAACTTGTCTGTGATTCATTTTCCTTGTCTGTTTCCCTTCTCTGGTTCTTCATTTTTTCTCGAGGGTGGTGCAGCAACATTTCCAGGTGAAAATGATCAGTTTATGTGGAAAAATACAAAACAAATGCAAGCAGGAAATTATATTATGATCTAATCTGATTTCACTCAATATAACTTAAAGAATATGTGCTGTGATATCTGACCACTTTTGAAGACAAGAGGGTATTTTTGACCATGAAATGACAGAAAGCAGCAGCTGTAACAGAGGTGGTGGTGTTTCTGCAAACTGAAAGTTTATTATCGCTTTGTTGCTCTTGCAGTAGACAGTAGTCTATCTAAGTACTGGAGCATTTTTCTTTGAAACAGTTTCTGTTTTAAAATAATGAAATAGTTCTTAAACCAAGAGATGATTTTCGTATTTGATCAACTGTTAATATATAGAATATTTGAGACACCCTCTAAAAATATTGATAACTGAGTATTTTAATAGTTCACACACATAAATATATTTTAAAATGTATTAATGTTCACAGTAGAAACCACATTATAGGAGAAGTTTGCATTTCCGGTGTTCCTTATTTCCGTTCTTTGGGATTCAGCCAATGAGCAACGAAGAAAATAAATGGTGCTTCTGGATTGGCTGCTTTGCAAATACCAGCCAATAGCGTGTCAAGAAGCGTTGTAGCTAGCTACTTTAGCTTCCAATCTGCATGTTCTTTTAAGTATTTCAGCTAATGCATTTTGTTTGGCTGTATTTACCCAGAATTCCTGCTCTTGGCGCCGTTTCCGGGTCGTATACCACACCAGAGTTCACTTCAACCAAACTGAGACCACAATAGGCGTACCAGAGTTTGCTATTTTGGTCTGCATTAGAGTTTTTACATGTTCACATCTCCACAAATGAACCAGACTTCGTAGAAAAAACGTCTGGAATTTGACTAAAGCGGACTGAACAGGGGTGTGTTACATCTTTCTCAACTTCTAACTTGAAAATCAATATAACTGCCATAAACTACACGCCTAAGCACATCTAAATGGAGGAAAGTCAAAGCAATTTGAAGGGTTCAGATCATCTCAGTGTTAGATTTTTCTGAACTGGATCTGGTACGCTTCAGTTCAGCTCCAGACTGAAATGAATTGAAGACATTGCCTAAAGACGGCCATATCTGCTGCTGCGTCTTCTTCCTGCAGCTTCTGGCTCCTAGAAACAGTCATTGTAATAACAGTCACTCAGGGATTAGGACCAGCCGACTCGTGGTTAATTAAACTCTCCGACATGCTCACCGCTCCTCGGATCTCTCAGCCTGACGGAAAATGGGTTCCTAACACACTGACTCGGATGTGAGCCCAATCCCCTGTTTGTGTTTTTCACAGTCAGACCCAGCAGCTCTCCCGGCGGTTTGCTACAAAGCGCATTTTTTCCCTCTGTAGTGGAAATTTCTCTGCTGATGTAAAACAAAAGGAAAATGTGTCTATGCTGCTGTTTCTCTCTGGGCTTCCTCAGATTAAAAAATAAACTTTCAGCTTTTTTCAGGGACTTTATCGTTCCAGTGATTCGACCCGTCAAACAGCAGATTCCAGTTCCGGTGTTTATCTTTGATTGCGTCAATATGAGTTTATTGATCAGAGATCAATGTTGCTCACTTCCTGTCCTGAAGGAGGCGTTTTATCGACGGCTGCAGGACGAGGCGCCCAGAGGTTCTGGAGCTTCACGCTGCTGGATGTTTGTTTAAAGGCCCAGATGGAGACAGAAAGCCGGTTCTGGTTCAGTCCAGATCAGATCAGACCGGTCTGGTTTCAATCCGGCTGCGCTGGATTTAGAGGCAGATTTAAATAGTCAGCTGTCCATCCAAACATCCATCCATTCAATCACCCAATCACGAGGACTTGGAGTATGTTGCTATGGCGATTGTCATCCCGGTTTCCCTCCATGACGGTCTGACCTGATAAAGTCCTGAAAATAGTCGGCCATGAATATTTAAACCGTCTCCAGTCTGAAATCTATCAGCTCATCGACTGAAACCGTTTGGACTCACTTTGCACTTAATCAGATTCATGCTTCCCTCTTCTGTCCAACGCTTTACACACATCTTCATTCAAATAAAGGTTTTAAATGGCGTGTCATTCTGTCCCTTTGGTAAAACATTTGGGCTTTAATGTAAAGAGCTTTCATAAGAGCATTGAAGCCTGACTCTTAAACCCCTTTAAAGCCTGGAGCTGCAGTCAGATGTCTGCTCATTTTAATGGCTCCCTTCATAAATTCATTGCATAAAATAATGAGATCTAAGTGAAGTCCTGACACTTTTCACCTGGAGGTTCACAGCAGACTTTACCTAAAGTTTATAACTCTGCTTGCTGCTCTGAATATTAACTATAAATTTATGAAAACAAACACCTGCGTGGGAATGAAACTCCCTCCTTTCCACCACATTACGTCTTTAATGACGATAATCAGCTCCTGCAGCCTGTGTTGCTTGGATCAAATTAAAATGGTGTCATTAATGTGCAAATACACAACTGTCCCCACTGTTTACGCTCGCCGCGCCCTGCAGGGGTAATGAAGGCACTTGGGAAGTTTTGAATTCAAACAATTTCTTGCTGCGTTACTAATGAGATTAAAGCCGTCTCTGCTGAGGCCTTGACGAGTTTAATGCAGCCGTGGTTGTTAAATAATCTAAACTAAGAGTGGTTAAACTTACAAAAGTTTAGATAACGCTCTATCACAGGTCATTTTAACAGTTAGTTTCAAACGTCACAGTTTTACATCTAAAATGATTAATCAATTATTTAAATAATCTTTAGCTGATTTAACAATTGATTAATTGTTAACTGAGATAAACAAACATATTCACCGCAGTAGTCAATGAAAAAGTGTATAAATGTATAGATTTTACCCAGAAATGATAGTTTTAGCTTCACCTGGTTCAAATTCTGTAAAAAATAAAATTGCTGTTGATCAGATATTCACGTCCATAAAATGTATTGTTAATGCAAAAATGATTTTGTTTACACAGTTGACTTATTTTTAGATCTCAAGATTACAAGCTTTATTTTGATACCTGAACAAATCAATGAATTTGAGATATTTTGAATTCATTCTAGGCATTGTTTTGATGGAGATCAGACCATTCAGTTGAAATTAACTGCACTGTTTTAGCTCAAATGATTGCAGACTCCACCATATAAATCTCCTCTTTGCTTCAGCTCTGCTGCTCTTTTCATTGATTCAGAAAAATCTCATTTCTCTGCCAGCCTTATTTTCCAGCACTGCAGTTTTGACCTTTAGCTCCATTGCTGATCTAGAAAATTAGCAGCAGTGTTTGGAAGCTGTTTCAGATTTGCTCGGGTGAACATGCGAGCTTCCAGTCGTCCATGTTGAAGCCCCTTCTGTCTGTCTGTCTGTCTGTCTGTCTGTGCCGTTCAGGCCACCAGCTGCCGATGACTCCATAAGCAGCGGCCATGGCTGCCCATCGAATCATTCGAGTGAACAACAATCACATCCTCCCTCGCTGTAAGTCTGAGGGGACGCTCATCGAGCTGGACGAGGGGCCGGCCGGGACCAGTCTCAGTGATGTTAAAGGTCAGTCTCATTGCACTTCAAACTCAATTACACTTTGAATTTATTACGTGAAACGTCTGGAAGTGGAGTTCAGGGTTATAAGGTTCTGCGAAAGAAAAAGAAAATAAGAGTACAGAAAAAACTATCTTCAGACTTTATTCTGTATCTGGAAGCTGGAAAAGAATGATCTGGAACAGATGACAGGAAGTGATGTAATAGTTGCTTTATTTGTTGGTTTTGATTGTCCAAATTATCTGTATGTAAATTGAGCCAATTACCCAAGTGTGACCCAGATTACCCCGATATGATTAGCGTAGCTGTTTCATTGTTACTGTTCGATTCTGACTGCAGCGCCGTAAATAACCCACTAATTACTGGAGAAAAACACTGGAGCACATAGAAAACCATCCAACCATCCAGATGAAAAACTCTGTCCTCTCCTTTCTTTTCAGTGCCTTCTCCCAGTGCCTTAAAGCTTGACAGTCAAGACTCCCTCGGAGCTGCTCAGGAGGTGGTTGCTATCAAGGATTATTGCCCCAGCAGCTTCACCACCCTGAAGTTCTCCAAAGGGGATCGCCTCTATGTTCTGGACACATCAGGCGGGGAATGGTGGTACGCCCACAACAACACGGAGATGGGATACATCCCAGCCGCCTACGTCCAGCCAGTCAATTTCAGGAACTCTTCACTAAGCGACAGTGGGATGATTGACAGCCTCGGGGAAGGGTATGATGACGGTGGGAAGGAGTTTGGAGGTCTTGGGGAGTGGATGGGGATGAGCCTGAAGCCCTCCACCATTTACAACAACACCCCGTTTTCTGTGAATCCTTTCATCTGTCCGTTAAATCAAAACTCCAAAGACGTAAGCGGGAGGAACTCAGCGGATCTTATCTACTTGGAGTCTCTGGCATCTCCATCGTCTTGTTCCAACAGTTGTTCAATCATGAGCAACGGGTTCAGCAGCTGCCATATTAATAGCCTCAACTCAACCAGTCCAAATCAAGAGGTTACATCCAACTTCCAGAGTGAAAACCCCTATTTTAAAAGCAAACGTTCCCACAGTCTGTCAGAACTCTCTGTCTTACAGGCGCAGTCGAATCCAACTTTACCTTCGTCTGGGTTCTTTACGGGCCTGACGGCTCCTTTACCGGAGCAGTTTCAGAGCAGAGAGGATTTCAGGACTGCCTGGTTGAACCACAGAAAATTGGCTCGGTCTTGCCATGACCTGGACTCTTTGGGCCAGAGTCCCGGATGGGGTCAGACCCAACCGGTGGAAACTAATATTGTCTGCCGGCTGGACTGTAACGGAGGAGTTGTTCAGCTTCCTGACACACACATCAGCGTACACATCCCTGAGGGTCACGTCGGTCATGGAGACTACCAGCAAATTTCCATGAAGGCTTTACTGGACCCCCCTCTGGAGCTGAACAACAACCGCTGCACCACGGTAAGCCCAGTGGTGGAAATCAAGCTCAGCAACATGGAGACAAAGTCGTTCCTAACACTAGAGATAAAAGTGGCAGTGGCTTTGAAGAAGGAGAGTTGTCATGCTGCCGATGTGCTTTGTGTGCGCAGTGACTGCAAGGAAGGACCTTACACCCCGATACCCAATGCCTACATCTTCAAAGACACAGTTCAGGTACAGCTGGAAAGTCTGGAGCCTTGCATGTATGTAGCGATTGTTGTTCAGGCACACTACGTCGGACACAACACAACAGTCTGGGACCATGTGCAGAGGAAAGTCAGTCTGGGTGTTTACGGACCCAAACACATCCATCCCTCGTTCAAGACAGTTGTGGCTATGTTTGGGCATGATTGTGCCCCCAAAACCTTGTTGGTGAATGATGTAACATGGCAAGCGGCCTCTACTCCACCTGTAGCGCTGCAGCTGTGGGGGAAGCATCAGTTTGTGTTGCCATTCCCTCAGGACCTGCAGATTGGACTCTATTCCAACATGTCCAACTACCAGGTGAAGGCGAGTGAAGGAACCGGGATGATACGGGGGTTTCAGGTGAAGCTCGGGAAAGTTAGCAGGCTCCTCTTCATGATCACATCGCACAACCCCAGCAGTATCTCAGACTTTACTCTCAGGGTCCAGGTTAAGGATGCTTTAGACTGCATCTTGACCCAATTCTGTGTCCAGACGCCACAGCCGCCACCAAAAACTGGAGCAAAGATCACTGGCCAGCGGAGATTCCTGAAAAAGAGAGAGGTTGATAAGATCGTACTGTCGCCTCTGGCTGTCACCTCAAAACACCCAAAGTTTCAGGATCGGTGTGTTACCAACCTGAAGTTTGGTAAGCTGATTAAAACGGTGATCAGGCAGCATAAGAACATGTACCTGCTGGAGTACAAGAAGGGGGACGTTATGGCCTTACTCAGCGAGGAGAAAATCAAGCTACGAGGGCAGCTTCGAACCAAGGAGTGGTATATCGGATACTACCAGGGAAAGCTGGGGCTGGTTCATGCTAAGAACGTTCTAGTTCTTGGTAAAGTCAAGCCCATTTACTGGTGTGGGCCAGACCTCACCACCACAATGTTGCTGGATCAGATCCTGAAGCCTTGCAAGTTCCTCACCTACATCTACGCAACTGTGAGGACGGTCCTGATGGAGAACGTGGGCAGCTGGAGGGCATTTGCAGATGCACTTGGATACGGGAACCTGCCCCTGAATTATTTTTGTCGGACAGAACTGGACAATGAGCCGGAGAGAGTGGCGTCGGTTCTGGAGAAGCTAAAGGAAGAGTGTACCAACATGGAGAACAAGGAGAGGAAGTCCTTCCAACGGGAGCTTATGATGGTAAGACTTCTTTTTGTGCATATTTTGCGTCAAATCAGAAGTAATTATCTTTGAATGGCTGGAACATCTTTCTTTTTTGGTCTTTGGGATTATTTTGTCAATTATTTGAACAATTTTTGAGTTAACCGACATAAAACCTAAAGGAGCATGACAGTTTCCAAAGACAATAAAATAGATTTTTACCCCCCAAAAAAGAGAATAAACAATCCTAGAGACATCAGCCATGTTTAGTCCGCTTTTATCAAACTGTTTGTTTACAAAGTTCAATTTGTTTGGAGAGGTGTGAATGGTTCATTGAACTCTGCGCCAAAAGCAGAAAGTGCACAATGGTGCAGGGCATTCTGGGTAAATACAAACCAAAACAAACGCACAACTCTGGCACTAGCAGGTGAAATGGCTCGTGGTTTTTTACCAGCTTCTTATCAGTTCTCTATGATGTGTTGTCCCACATTTCCCCCATCTGGAACCATCTTTCCAGTTTTTCTTCCATTAAACCTTCCACTCATATGCTTCAATACAGAAATCTATACAAAGAATCTCTACATAGCTTCTTAATAGGTTTTTCCTTCCACCAAACTTTCTACTGATACCTGAAAGCAGATTTTTAACAGTTGAAGTCAGTGGCGTTCCTTATGATTGTATTGACCAACATTTCTTTATTAAACATCCCTTTTAAAGGGAATTTTCTTCAGATTGGTTGTGTTTTCCACATGTTGGACCTCTGCAACAAGAACAAAAGAGAAGTCTGGACTCGGATTTGAACCTGCTGAGTGGCCTGAGCACTAGAGCACCAGAATAACTCATACATTTCTTAAAGATGTGTTGTTAGTTGGACTGCTCCTCTTATTGAGCATTTTCTTTAAAGACTGGGTGGATTTGACTGACTTCATGTCTAGTCTCATCTAAACGCTCCTGCTTCAACAAGTCTTATGCAATGTTTTCCCTGAGGAGAGGTGGACTGTCATCATGAGGCTGCAGAAAGACGGCCGAGTCAGCCGCTCTGCATCGATTGAAATAAACCTTTTTCTTAAAGGAATGGAGGAAATCTTATGTAATTGTTACTCAATCAGACATTCCTGATGGTGAAAAGCTGCACATTTAAAATCCTATTGCTTCCTGATGACCTGTTTTTTTTTTCCTGGATCCGGAAAAGACCTGCAGCGAAACGCCAAATCCACAATAATCTGTTTGTAAGGAACAAAGGAGGAACTCTGCGCCCGATAAATCGCTCTATTTTCTAAAGATACAATCTGAAGAGCCTGGCTTCATTAAACGCAGTTTCTCTATGCTAATTAAAAAACAACGGAGGCTTATGATTGATGATGCCTCTTGATGTCTTAACTAGATGTCACCTCTGTAATGAGAAGGGTGAGATCCATTGTTGTCAGGCTAATTGAATATACTTCATTCATTCACTTCAGTTAGACTCAGAGTTGTTTCTGTTATTGATCATTTCATTTCAAAGAACAAAAATTAATGTGCAACTCTGAAAACTAGAATATTATATCAAATCGATATAAATATTTTTCTTAATATTCATTTCTCTGCTCTAAATCCTTGGTTGGGCCTCATTTTGCCCCAGTGAAGCTCTCTCAGTGATCTTCATTCTCTATACTTTCATTTTAAAAGATTACTTTGGACCTCTGAGCAACAGACTGGTTCTGGTTCAGAAAGTGGTTTGTCATTAGGAATGCAACATTTGTATCCTCTATTGTGGCTCTCAGTATTCTGACTCCTTCCTGACTAGATCCTGCTTGACAGTCCTCTCAAAACGGCAGTTATCCCTGTTCCTATCTTTTCCTACTAGACTTCTTCCTTCCACTAAACTTTCTCTGAATATGCTTAGATGCACAAGTCTGTGTTTGTAGTTAATTTTGAATTAAAACGCAAATTTTCTGAACCAGAGTCATGAAAATTACAAGAAATAAAAACTTGGAATATTTTGTTCTATCAATATTTCTTAACATAAATCAGTGTAACAGTGATTCTGTTTATCTAGCCAGAGTTTCTTTAGGGTTTCCTCTATATTTGCTCTGCTGGAAGCCGCAGCTGAAAGCGGGAGATGTTTCCCGAAGCCAACAGGTGCTCTGTGTGAAATCTGAGCAGGCATTGATCAGGACGGACCCGGAGGCCCGGTGGGTCATCCGACACCGCCCGGCAGCTCCTTTCATCTCGGCGTGTCGGGTTACAAAAGGGCAGAATAAGAAAGCTAGTGTTTGTGAGCCGGAGAAAGAGCTGTTAATAATAGATCATCGCTGACAGACCAGCCCTTCACTCATCTCAGCTCGTCTTCGTCTCAAACCAGAACCGGTTCTGGTCCAGTTATGACTTAAAAACAAACGTCAGAATGAAATGTTTAATTCCTATTTAAGTTCATGCTTCACAAGCCAAATAAAACATCAAAAATCCTGAAAAAATGGCTGTGAAATGTGCCGGCTAATGTCTTTGGAAAAGCCTTTCTGATTCTTTCATCACATTTAATATACTTGTTTTTAACTTTGTCGCTTTATTAGTTACATTTATTTTTGTTTATAATAGTTTTTGTATATTTAAAATAAAATTAAAAATCACAATTTTAATATTATTACATTGGAACTTTATTTCCATTTAAATTTCTATTGAAAAATATATAATAAAATAGTAAATAATAAATTAATAGTAGCTTTATTTGTGCCTAATATTTAATTTTCCAAAGTGTTGCACAATGTTTGTGGTTGTTAGAGATCCAGATTTTATTTATATTTTTATAGTTTTATTCCACAAATAAAATCAATAATCCAGCCTGAACAAAGAAAATTACTTTTTATTCTTAAAATACATTTATAAAACATGTCAAGGTAAACCTTTAAAGCTTAAACGTCAAATAAATTAATGAATTAAAAGAAATAAAGGAAAGTTCATCAGTTAATTCATATTTATTGCAGCGGTGATGAAGCTCGAAATCTCCTGAACTTTTAAAGTACTTTTTGATGAATTAGATTATTTAATTTTTTAATTTTACATTAAAAATGTTTATGTAAATGATGAAAACCCAGAAATACAGCAGCTTTAACTATTAATACCTAAATAGTTGGGGTTGGCGAAATATAATACTAATAAATCATCAGCCTGTTTTTTTACATCACATATTAAAATATATCAAGGCAACGATGAATACAAATTATTTTAATTTGGCAGGTCTTCCTCCTCGTCTTCCTCGTCTCTACCTGTCAGCGTCGTCCATCATTGCGTCGAGGAGTCTTATTTTCCTGACAGCTGTCGGCGCCGTCTGTCCGTCTGCTGCAGGGACTTCCTGCGTTTTCTCGTACCGATGCTGTATTCCCTGGTGCAGCGGAGCGTTGTCTATTTATAGACCCCAACCGTGTTGTTGTTTAATAAGCAGGAGACCAAACCAGGCTGGAAACAGATGAAGGGATGTTCTGCGGCGCTGCTGCCTCTGAATCCACTTCATAGGTTTTCAAACCCAGCTGCAAACCTCTACCTCCTATTATTCATCCTTAAATATTGTATTTGTGAAATCTATCAACATCTTTTGTGGTTTTATGAAAGAGAAAACTCAGAAAGTCATGAATTATCAAAAATGTCTCTGAATGATGTAATTTTTTATTTAAAAACATACCTTTATCTCTGAAACAAACATCTGCGACTCACCTTAATAAAAATGTCTCCATTACATCTATAGAAGCAGCTACTGCTGCAAGCAACTCAAAATATGTTTAATTTGCAAAGAAACTGGCTAATTTATAATCCTAGGTTGATGAAAATTGGAGAAAAAATAAGAAATTGACTCAATATTGGTCAGGAAAACTTGCTTTATCTGGACTCTGATATATAAAGATGCAAAAAGTCTTTGCAGTTGTCTTGCACAGTGGTGGAAGAGTCATACTATGGGTTTGATTGGCCCACATCAGCATAGAAACAGTTTAAATTGGCGAATTGATTCATTACAATTGACAAAATGTGAGAAATAGACGAAACCAGACGCCATGTTTGATGTAAATTCCTCCTGAATGCTTTTCTAGCAGGAACCAGCTCCAGATTTCCATCTGAACGCCTCATGTTCATTAGCAGTCGGCATGTTTTTGATCAACTTGGTCTTCAAAGAGTTTATATTTAGAGCAGAAGAACCGCAGGTGGTCTAAAGAGACGCAGAGCTCATCAGACGGGGATTACAGCCTGACCTGGACACAATCTGGGGAACCGATATTCAGGGAAATTATTTTAACGAAGCAGAAGAAGAATTCCTTCATCGTCTGACACCAGAAGAGTTTCTAAAGTCTGGATGAGTAAAGAGGAAACATTATTGAGACTTTCCAACTATTCATTCATTCATTCATTTAATAAACCCATTGTCATGCTAGTGTCTGTTTTAAAAGGAAATCAATAAATGAAAAACAGCAAACATGGCAGATTCCTCTGTTTTGTTTGAAAGGTTTAACGGAAATCAAAGGATAATCAAAAATTCAGCCAAAATACTCAATCTGGAAAACTTTTTATAACGATTTTATGAGCCCAGCTATTTATTTCTGAGGATCATCCTCCTGCTGGTGTTTGTGGCGTTTGCTTGACTCCTCTGATTGGTTTTCCAGGGATCTGTTGCATGTCAAGGCTTAAATTTCTCCTCATGACGAGAGGCCCCCTAACCGTTCATGTGGTCATGTTTCACAGCACATCTAAACCCAGCTTAGGGTAAATGTACACTTTGCAAGATAATCCAGATATGCTCTTCCCTGGAAAACCAAATCCAATCCCAAGAGTTGCTTTTGTTCATCCGTCATTCACCAGAAACGGAGCATCTGGATCATCGTCTTCAAGTTGTGAATGAATGCTGAGATTGTCCGTCTTTCACTGATCAGGCGTTGCTGAAGATGGACTGCCAGGGTTTGGTGGCGAAGCTGGTGCTGGACTTTGTCTTGCTGACCACAGCGGTGGAGGTGGCGTCCAGGTGGAGGGAGCTGGCCGAGAAGCTAGCCCGAGTTTCCAGGCAGCAGATGGAGGCTTACGAGGCTCCGCACCGCGACAAGAACGGCGTCCTGGACAACGAGGTGAGGACACATCAGTTCGCATGGAAAAACAGAGCAGCTAGCTGTAATTTATAATAACCTTCTACTAAAACAAGAGAAAGGAATAAGTGTGTATGCATACATTTTGATTCATTGTATAGATCTTAATGCATTTAGGCCAATTAACTATATTTTTAACCATCTGGAACTTTTGTGTTTGTTTGTTTGTGGTACGCCCTCAAATCTGACGCACAAGCTACATCCGCTAAAAATCAAATCACTTCTCTCGGCCCACTGGGATTTAATTTCTGCTTCTAAAAACAATCTGATTGCATTATTGTTGTGTTCAAATTGTGCTATCAGTGAAGCTATTCTGGCCTAAAATAGCATCTCAATGCTACACATGTAGCAGCTAATGCTAATGTTGCTTATTTTGTCAATAAAATAAAATACAGCTTAATTGCAGAAGCTGTAATTAACTCAATTAAACAATTTGAGTCCTATCAATACAAATAATATTTAATTTGGTGAAGCTATGCGCTTGACTAAAATCCATTGGCGTAAAACTTGTATATTATGGATATGAAACTTGAATTTTTACTGGAAATCAAAAACATTTCAGTTGATCTCACATTTGTTTCACCACCAAAAACATAATTATCACCCCAAAGGCTGCAGAAAGTGTTTCCATTGAGTGGAGATCTTATAAATGTTCTGTCCATCCTATTGTCCACATCGGGTGCCAGTCAAATAGGAGTCCAATAAAAAAGCCCTCGTTTGTGTCAAACCCCACTCCCTGGTCTTTTGCCCCTGAAATCATCCCGTTTCTTTGTCTGACCCTTCAGTCCATGTGGAAACCAGCGTATGATTTCCTGTTGACTTGGGCCGCCCACGTTGGGGACAGCTACCGGGACGTGATCCAGGAACTCCACCACGGCCTGGACAAAATGAGGAACCCCATCACTAAGAGGTGGAAACACCTGACAGGGGCGCTGATCCTCGTAAACTGTCTCGATACCCTCCGCAGTGCCGCTTTCTGCCCCACCGGCTATGGGGACTTTGCTGTTTGAGCTTTCTGTCCCTCTTGATAAACATTTAAACGCTCCAGCGCATGGTGGGACTAATTCAAACCCATTTTTAAAACTAGAACATGGCCGAATCTCAAGGCTTTATCCTGCATCGGATTATCAGAATATGTGGAAACTTTCATTGAGAGCCCTGCTTGTTTGTTTTTTTGCTTTTCTACTTCTTTCTACTGTGTCCTTTGACTTGTTTGCGTCTTTTTTTATATTGTAAACTGCTCCTGTCACTGTCTGTCTGTTAATTGTTGCTTGTTTTTAGGTTTTTCCTTTCTTTACCCTCAGGGGAATATAAAAAAACCTCTCATATCACAGTAAATAAACAACAATGCGAGCTGTTTATGTACTTGGGCAGGTTTGTTGATTCTAAACACAAAAATTATCTTCTATAAAAACAAAACTTAAGCCCTTGAGTAAAACATATTTATATATTTCAGTTTTATAAATTCAAACATTAAGATTCAATTTTTTAGAAACTAAATTGCCAAACAGTAAAGCTAACATTATTGTTAGCATTAGCCGTTAGCAATTACAATCAGTACAATAAGAGATTAACTTTGTTAATGAATATACGTCATTTTCAAAGTAAAACTGAAGTGTAATATAAACAAAAAATACCTTTTAGTGGGAAATCAGTTTAAACACTCGTAGCTAGCACTAGCTTACCTAAGAGTGTTAGCTTGTAAGCTATCATGAATTCATTGGGAATACAGTATATACTATTCAAAATGTCTCAATATATACATGACAGAAAAACATGAGTTTATATTTGAAGATAAAAACAATGACATTGTTGATAATGTTTATTATAATAATGTTGAGTAATGCTAACGCTACAGTTAGCACTAGCTGTCCATATTGTTAAAGATGTTCTGCCTCTTGATGCTATTGAATCAATTTTTGAAAATAATGGGAGATATCCTACAATTCAGTCCAACTAAAATTGATCTGAATTTTAGTTGTATTGAAATTCCAACCAATTGAAACTAATGGTAATCATGATCATGTTTATTATGATGATATTTGTCTTAACCCACTTTTTATGAAAATGATAATGCACAATTAGCTAGCACGTCAGCTAGCAATGAATATTTGCAAATGCAGCTGCTTCTCAGAATATGTAATGTAGAATTTTGACATGAAAATAAATAAATTTATCGTTGAAAATCAACACATTGATTCTCCTGCACTGAGTCCCAAAATAAACATTTAAGCTAATGCTAGTGTTAGCATTAGCAGTCTATACAGTAACGGTTGAATGTGTCTGATTTTCAAATTATGCCTAATTATAAATTTGGTTTATTTCAAATAGAAAACAACAATTTGAGCATTATTTACATTTAAATCATGTTTTAGTTGAGAATAACTAACCATTTTTTACTAGGTAGTCTGCTAGCACACAAGTACATCATTACTTAACCTTTAATTTCAAGTTTCTTATCATTTTAAGGTAAAAAAAATTATATTTTTAGCAAAGACTGTAAATTTTTACGTTCATCTTGTCCTAAAAATAAATATCAATTACATACCGAATACTCCATTAATTAATATTTAAATCCATCAGGGTCACAATAATTTCACACATGAATTTGTATTTTCAAATATTGAAGGGATATTTACTTTGAAGCAATCTTCTTTTCTGCCACTAGATGTCACCGCATTCAAAATGGTAGGCCTTTAAAAAATCCAATATTAGCAAAGAGAGTCTGTTGTTTTCTGTTGCAGTTTTATTTATAGAAACCTGTTCTGCTGTAATACGTTTCTGAATGTAATTTCAGCAACAATAATCATCTGATTTCTGTGCTTATTGTTTATTAATTGCTCATATTTTTGTTATATTGGTTTTTCTCTTGTGACTTCTGCAGTGTTTGGGATATTTACACTATGAAAAGAAAAAATTAGCGAGAAATTTCTATATTTTTACTGAAAACCAAGCAAGTATTGACAGATTTATAAGAGAAAATCTACCACTTGTGATGGGTAGCATATCAGAATTCAGTATTACTGTTTAGAAAGTATCAATAAAGTGGGAATGTACCGAGTGTGTGGATTCTGGTTTTATTTTCTGTCTTACTATATCTGTGGTGGGACAAACAATTGCAAAACTAATACCCAGAGATTATTTAGTTGCAAATATTTACAAATCCCTGCAAAAAAAAAAGCAACAAAATCTCTTAATCTTTTGTTCACAAGATCAAAACATGCAGCTTGTAGGTTTTATTTGAAGTTATAAAATAGTATTTCCCTCTAAGCTTATGTCCAAATTTAAGCTCAGATGTTTCCTTTTCGTGCTGCACCAGCAAATGTGTTTCTGAGTCGCATCACTGAACATGTTTCTCTCTCCTCACAGACTAACAGCGTTTGTTATTCTGCTCACCAGGTGTCTTTTTCAATCAGTAGCAACAATAAGAGCGAATCCTCCACCGGTTGTTGTTCTCGGGGTTCATCGCCATGCAGATGGTTTTTACGTCGTCGCACATAAAACTGCTTCCCACCAGCAGAAACACCAGAGAGGAAGATGTTCCAGCTCATGAATCCTTCATTTCTCAGCACAATCCCCTCTCCTTTATACACACACACACAACCACACACACACTTGCTGAGTTTGATGGACTTAATTAAAGCAGATAATTATTCTGGCTCAGAGGACGGGCCACCTTCACCGCCGTCCTTCGCCTCTCATGACTCACCCTCCACATTCCTGCTGGTCTCCTGGAGACAGTTTGAAACTAAACAACAACTCTGCTTGCATTTAACTTTGTTGTTGGATTTATTTTATAAGCTAGTCCAAAAATAATCACTCGTTTCTTTAGATTATCCTTCTAAATTTGTTCTTGGAATATCTTTCTCAAAGTTTTTTTCTTTTGTCTCATTTCAGGGAAATGTAGTTCAGAAGTTAGTCCAAACCAAAGAAAAGATTCATGATCTTAATTGATTTTCAATTATTCCTGCTGTGACTTAAAAATATTTTCTAAAAATTAAATCTTCAAAAACAAAACAATTGGCTAATTTATAACATTTATTTATCATCCATCCTACATTAAGATGATTCCAAAACAATCAGTCCTAAATTCACACCATATGCACGTTTTAACAATTTTTAAACGTTTTAAATTCCTTTGCAGCTGCAATATTTAAAATTTGAGTTTTATTTTAGTTTTTATTCAATTTCCAAGTTACAAAAACTGCAGAACTTCCTAAGACTCTTAAAGAGAAAAACACCCACAGCTTTATTTTTATTTAGGATAAACAAACACAGAGGCACAAAGGATCGTTTAGATCATTTGTTAAAAAGGCCTAGTCAAAGTCCGGACCTGAACTAGATGCTTTCATTTCGATCTGATGGAGCTGGAGGCTGCAAACGGTTAAACTTTCTGAAACATTTTTATCTTAAATCTTTTTCTCTGCTTTTCTCCATTCATAAGGATTTTATTAATGATCCAGCAGAAGCAGCGCAGACAGTTTGTACCAATAAAACCAAAATACAACAGAAACACGTGAGTGTGCAGATCAGAGGGAGGAAACATTATTTCCCTCCTTCCATTAATTAATTCAAGCAGCTTTTGAAAATGCAGAGCAGGTGCTGAGATGAAAAGCTCGGGGACAAGCAGGTCACCGGGTTTCATCTGCAGCTTTTCTGTCCTGGAAGGAGAAAAGAAAAGAAAAACCTTCATCTGCTGCTCCTGGCGCCTCCAGCAGCGCCGCAGACCTTCAGACGATCACCTGCACTTCCTGTCCGCCTCCACGGATGAAACTCCTGCTGGAGCCCCGACTCTTCAGAGGTTCCTCTCTGGAGGCGCTTGAATCGTTTTCAAGCTGTCATCTTAATAATTCAGCGTCTGTGTTTCTAATTTACTTCATTGATCAGGAGAGGAGTCGATGCTGGAGGACAATCGGTGATGACTCAGGTTGTTGTTGTTGCTCAGGCACTTATTCTGCATAACAAGGCCTTTTTGTTTCAGGCCTTTTATTGGATAATCAAACAAAAAGCTGGAGCTGGTGAAAAAATGCAATCTAAGTTCATTAGTAGATTAATTACATCGTTAAATAAAGATTTTATTGCAGCTGCATTGTCTGAAAATATCAAAACAAATCCATCATTAGGGCATCTTATCCCCAACTTCAACATCTTTCTAACTGAAAGACCAGATGGAGATTCAAAGAGGAAAAGCAAAAGCAAAGGAAGTGGATTAGCAGAGCTGGCTAACAACTGATGCTCACTTAGCTCATTTAGCTGTTAGCATGTCAGAACAGGCTTCAGTCAGAGGCCTCTTCAGATTCTTGTGATACTGACTGCTACAGCATCACCATTCATAACGAAACATTTCATTTGTTTTTGGGATAAATAAGGTAATTTTGAATCCAATTTAATTATTTCTTTGATGTGTTTGACACAGAAAAGCTCAGCATTTTGTCAGAATCTCGTTGCCATGGTTACCGCTAAACAAAAACATTTTTCTTTTCAACATAAGTTTTAAATTTATTTTCAACAATTTAGAGAATTAGAAAAGGTTTTTCTCACAGTATTTATTTGAATCCTTTACATTCTCATCTATGTGTTGGTCGTTCTCTGGCCACTAGATGGCAGTAAAGTGATGACTAATATTGTTTGTATGTGTAAAATAAGCATCAACAGGCATCTGGACGCAGAGATTCGCTCAAAAGTGGCCAAGAGAATGTGAAAACATAGCAGCAAGCTGTATCTTAGTGAAAATTAAATCCACTTTAATTTGTTTAAAATACATTTCAATTTTCAATGATGTCTTGAACAAATTATGGCAATAAATTGGAAGAATTATGGAAAAGCTAATTCAATTACAACAGTGAAACTCATTGTATAAATCACTGATGTGTTTTGTAACCCAGGCTGCTGACAAAAATTTAGTGGAAGGAGTCAGAGGATTCCAGTGTCGTATTTAAGATTTACTTGTGATGAAATGCTTCAATGCGCTGAGGGCAAGTCAAAGTATGTAAAAGGTTTATTTACAGATGCTGATATAATTTTTTCACCACATTTGGAGCTCTGAGCGATTTTCTTTCTGTTCGTAGACGTCATGATGAGATTCAGGAGATTCTGTCGATCACAGTGAACATCAGAGAGACAAAACGTAGAGAGGTATGTGTTGTTTTCTAGATTTACTGCAGATAACTCAATAAAAATGTCACTAAATACCTCATATGCTTCAAACTACAAGTTCTGATCTGACTCAGAAATAGTAGATCTTGATGATTATATTTCATATCAACAAAACACATTGGGATTAAATGTCATGTTCTCATGGCTTCCCTATTTTGAAGGAAAGTTTTTTACTTTTTGAGATTATTTTCCAGGAATGCAAAATGATAAAAATGTCGGTGTATAGTTTGTCTTAAACTTTGGATCCGTCTCAGATCAACATCAGATGAAAACACTGATGGAAACCAATCAGAGACTGCAGTGCTGCCATCTGGTGGCGCTCTGCTAGAACAGCATGTAAGTCCTCACCGTATTCGGACAATAAGCGATAAGATGTGGAATAGAATAAATTGTTTCAGGTATATTTTTATTTGACTTGGCTGCAGAACTCCAACAGAAAGTAATAATTACGAGTTTTAAAGTAATAATTACAAAATAAAGTAAACATTTTGATTTTCTAACTCATAATTTCGATTTTAAAGGTCAACATTATGAGATTGAAGATAGATATTTTGACTTTCGAATTTATAATAATGAGATATAAAATTATAAGTGAAATATGCAAACTGAGAATATGTTTGAAATAGAAAATCATGCTGTTTGGTGGAGTCTTGATCTCTTTTTTTCTACTTTGTTTTTTATTATTAGCCTATTTTTATTTCAAAAACCAAAGAAAAGTGCAAAACTTTGATTCAGTCACATGAAAAATATTGTTTGTCTTCAGTTATTGCAATATTTTCTGTACAAAAGACGAAATATAAAACCAGAAAATTCCCAAAATCAAATATAAGATGCAGAATAATATATAAAATTTACACAAACTGATTATGAATAAAAATCTTTCATTTCGCGGTATGAAATTAAACATTTGCACTTATAGTTGTTTTTGCAATGCACTTGTAATTGCTAGTATTGGACACCAGGAGGCGGTGTTTTACAGATGAACCACCGATGCGAGCTTTTAAGTTATGACCCAATCGTTAGGAAATGCTTTTATTTTGAAACTCCCACCGGATGCGACATGTTGTGACGTTTCGTGACGCGGATTAGAGGCGGACCCACGCAGCATCAGCGGGGTGTGTTTATGTTCCCACGCATGAAGGTGAGCAGGGAGAAGCGGCGGTGTGGTGATGATCGGACACTTTGCGCATTTGGAGCGGCGCTGCGCGCAGTGAGTGCGCAGTGAGTGCGCTGGTTGGAGCGGCTCCAGGGATGCTGCGGCTGCTCTGGCTGCAACCCGGGGCTGCGCCCTCCACCTCCACCTCTCCACGCGTTGCCCCCCATCCCAGTCGGTAAGATGGGGACCAGTCTGTCCAGTCTGGCAGCCTTCCAGTCGCTGCACATCGTCATGCTGGGTTTGGACTCTGCCGGGAAGACCACCGTCCTCTACCGGCTCAAATTCAACGAGTTCGTCAACACGGTTCCCACCATCGGCTTCAACACGGAGCGGATCCGGCTGGGCGGCCCGGGCGCCTCCCGGGGCATCAGTTGCCACTTCTGGGACGTGGGGGGCCAGGAGAAGCTGCGGCCCCTGTGGAAGCCCTACAGCCGCTGCACGGACGGCATCGTGTACGTGGTGGACTCCGTGGACGCGGAGCGCCTGGAGGAGGCCCGCGCCGAGCTGCACCGGATCACCCGCTTCCAGGAGAACCAGGGGACCCCGCTGCTGGTCATCGCCAACAAGCAGGACCTGCCGCGGGCCCTGGACGTGGGGGACATCGAGAGGCAGCTGGCCCTGTCCGAGCTGAGCCCGTCCACGCCGTACCACGTCCAGCCGGCCTGCGCCATCATCGGAGAGGGGCTGGACGAGGGCATGGACAAGCTGTATGAGATGATAGTGAAGAGGAGGAAGACTCTGAAACAGAGGAAGAAGAAGTGATGCATGAGGAGCTGCCAGGAAAGTTTAGTGGAAGGAAAACATTTAATTCCCTCAGTCAGAATGTAGCAGAGAGAAGACCGGAGGACAATCAGAGCCACTGGAGACAGAAACACAGGAGGAGATCCGTGGACAATTCTGAGCTACTAAAGTCTAAAACTTGCAAGACAAGAAATCTGACAGTTTTAGATTCATTTCAGAAATTTTACAGGAAAAACCTGGAAAATTCAGAGATCCACAAGTCAAAAATTAGCAAGAAAAAAAAATAGAAATTCTGAGATTAGTTTCAGGAATTCTCTATAAAATTCCTGGCGATTTTTGGATTAATCTCCATTTCTTTTCTTTTCTAACCGATTTTTTGATTTTTCAAACGTAGAAATGTCCTTGTTTTACCTAGAATATCTTTTAGATTATATCTAGATTAGATTAAGCTCCAGATTTCTAAGATTTTTTCTCACAAATCTTTTGACCTGTAGAAATGTGAGTTTTCTCAATCTACTCCAACATTTTTCTTTATGCACATTGGCCCTAACACTGTCATGTTGCTCTAAAAACCTCATCATCAAATCAGATTTATGGATCAATTTATAGATGGACTCAGAAATATCCACGGTTTGGATCCTTTGTTCTTCCTCTCTGGATTCATTTGGTTTATTTGAAGATTCAGACAAACTGGATGCTTAACAGAATAATTTGCACTAAATATTCATCAGTCATAATTGGATAAAATCCCTAAAACCTTTGTTGGTTTTGATAGTTTCCAGAAATCCTTTTAGTAAATGTTCCATCTCTAATAGTTCCTGCTAGTTAAATCTCACCGAATCCTTAGTAATTATTATTTGTTTAGAATATTTTATTGTAACCAAATGTTGCTGATTTAATGGCGACTTCAGGACACAAACAGTCTTCCTTAGATAAACTTGTAGTTATGCAAACCTGCAGGCTGAACCTGAAGCATCTTCGACATCACATCCTGTCCATCAGACGGACTGGATGACATCACATCCTGTCCATCAGATGGACTGGATGACATCACATCCTGTCCATCAGACGGACTGGACGTTTGATTGCCATCCTGAATCGGGTCAAAGCTTCTCGTCTGGACCGAACCCGCAGCATGTCGGTCCAGTTGGTGAACACCTGCAGCTCCTGCATGTCAGCCGCTCTGATTCCAGAAATATTTACCTGTATCTGTGTGTTGAAGCCAAAATACAGCGAGACCAAACGTGTTATGTGCCAAGATGTAAAAAAAGAAGTATTTTTGGGATTAAAGTCTTTATAAATGAGCTTGTGTTTGTCATTTGTGTAAAATCTCGATGCTTTTCGGATCGATTGAAAAGGTTTTCCAGGTTTTAGCTCTCAGACGTTGGTTTTTCTGGTTTTATCTTTCTGTCTCCAGTCATGTAATTACTCTGGTCGTGTTTCTGACCGCAGAGCAGACATGTTGTTTATGTGCTGCAGTTACTCATCTGACAATGTTGTCCTGAAATAAGCCTGGCGGGCTTTAACTGGACCTCAGGGGTTTTCTGGTCGGATCAGTTTCCAAGTTACGACACCAACCAGATCGAATTAAAAGAATACATGGCTTTCAGGATTAGATTACAAGAAAAACAACAGGGTTTGGCCTGGACTTTGACTAGGCCACTCTAAGACATGAACACATTTAGTTCTAAACCTTGCAGTGTAGCTCTATTTTTTACTTGTCATTTTCTAGCTTTTAATCAAATGTTTATTATTTTATCTCACTGTATTTGTTTTGTATCATTAGTTCAGTTCAAGTTTTAAAAATGTTCTTTTTTCTTTACTTAGATTACTCATATTTTCTTTTGTGTTTATTATTTAATTATTGATATTTTTGCTAGTTGGATAATACAGTTTTGATCAAATGTATTTTTATTTATTCTGATTTATTTATATATGTTGATAGTATATATCATTTTTAAATTACTTCACTTATATTGTGTTGTGATGTATTTAGTGTTATAATAATACAGAAGTTTTATTTATTTTTCTTTACTTTTACTGTTTTTTTTTATTTACACAGCTTTTCACTTTTTAAATACTTTAACTTCATTTCTCCATCTTCAGAGTTTCATCATTTTCTCTGGACAGATTCTGACTGATATTTTAACAGTTGATTACAAATAAACGTACCTTTTTTGTCAGAATGAAGAATAAAATCTGCTGGATTGTGAAACTGTAGCTGAAAGTTGATCAAAAATGATGATTTTTTTTCTTCAACAGAAGAAGAGAAACACGTGGCGTCAGACGGCTGCAGCACCTGAAGCGTGTCATTAGCATGTTTAATTACACGACTCCCCTCTGTAATCTACTGGGCGAGATACTGGGAGACAGAAAAGCTCCAAACTGGTTGGAAATTGTCTTTTATCATGTGTCTAGACAGGGAGATGTTCCTGTTCCGAGAAAACATAAAATATATGTTTGTTACTGCTGGATCAAGAGAAATAATGATGAAACAAACATTTCATACAGAACAGAGTTTAAAAAAACTAAACTTTTACATCCAAACTGCTTAAATCTTTCGGCTTTTCATGAGAACTGGACTGTAAATAATAAATAAATGGGCTCAGAAACAAAAGCCCATTTCTCTGTGGTGTTCTGGAGCAGAAAGCTCCTCAGGCAGAAAGCTTTTTAAATCAATTTTACTACATCAGGCTGCAGGAAAATGAGTTTCCAGAGCTCCTGGCCTGTCTGTGTCGTATTAAAATACATCATATTTAAATGTTTTCCCTTCACTTCATTCAGTCTGACTCTTTAAATGACAGAGAAAAGTGGGAGCTTCCTCACTTGGAACATGTAAGCTGTGTTTATGTCTTTAGCTGATGCATCATGTGGCTGAGAGTCGGTGCTGGTTTCCAATATGGACGCCTCTGCTGTGGGTTACGGCGTCACGCTGTTTCCAGAAGGAACTGGAATGAAAGCCGCACTCCCTCGAGGAAAAGATGAATTACGGAGTAAAAGACGAGGGGGGAGAGTGGCTTGTTGAGCAGATGATGGGAGGCAGCTGGCTTAGAAAAGTGAAGACAAAAAATCTGCTTATTCTGTGGTATGGTTACATCATCATGATTACACATTTCTCTTTATGACATATTGTCCCAGAAAATATTGCAATAAGTGATAATAATATTGTTTGTTATTGTTATCAAAGATCAAATAAGTTTTATTTAAAATTATCCAATATATAAAAAACAACAAACTAAACTCCAATAATTAAAATGGATTAGAGAGACTCTGCAGCCAAAAATTATATTTAAAAATGAAATTTATTACTGATTGTGACATACTTGAGTATGGTGAGAAAACACCATACTCAAGGTGAGGGTTATCTTTGGAAGACCCTCCAGACTTTATGTCGCTTTATAAAAGAAAACAACTGTTGGCAAATCATAGTCCAGCAGAGGGAGCAAGTCGAACACGATAAAGTTCAGTCAGAGTCCAGCAGGGGGAGCTGGTTTAACATGACGCAGTTCAGTCAGAGTCCAGCTAAATTGCATCATGATAAATCAGCTCCCCCTGCTGGACTCAGACTGAACTGCATCATTCTAAACTGGCTTCCCCTGCTGGACTCAGATTGAACTGCATCATTCTAAACTGGCTTCCCCTGCTGGACTCAGATTGAACTGCATAGCTACATCTGTGTAGCTATGTTAGCTACATCTAGGTATCTATGTTAGCTACATCTATGTATCTATGTTAGCTACATCTATGTATCTATGTTAGCTACATCTATCTATCTATGTTAGCTACATCTATCTATCTATGTTAGCTACATCTATGTATCTATGTTAGCTACATCTATGTATCTATGTTAGCTACATCTATGTATCTATGTTAGCTACATCTATCTATCTATGTTAGCTACATCTATCTATCTATGTTAGCTACATCTAGGTATCTATGTTAGCTACATCTAGGTATCTATGTTAGCTACATCTATGTATCTATGTTAGCTACATCTAGGTATCTATGTTACCTACATCTATGTATCTATGTTAGCTACATCTAGGTATCTATGTTAGCTACATCTATGTATCTATGTTAGCTACATCTATCTATCTATGTTAGCTACATCTAGGTATCTATGTTAGCTACATCTATGTATCTATGTTAGCTACATCTAGGTATCTATGTTAGCTACATGTATGTATCTATGTTAGCTACATCTAGGTATCTATGTTAGCTACATCTAGGTATCTATGTTAGCTACATCTATGTATCTATGTTAGCTACATCTAGGTATCTATGTTAGCTACATCTATGTATCTATGTTAGCTACATCTAGGTATCTATGTTAGCTACATCTAGGTATCTATGTTAGCTACATCTATCTATCTATGTTAGCTACATCTATGTATCTATGTTAGCTACATCTATGTATCTATGTTAGCTACATCTAGGTATCTATGTTAGCTACATCTAGGTATCTATGTTAGCTACATCTATGTATCTATGTTACTACATCTAGGTATCTATGTTAGCTACATCTATGTATCTATGTTAGCTACATCTAGGTATCTATGTTAGCTACATCTAGTATCTATGTTACTACATCTAGGTATCTATGTTAGCTACATCTAGGTATCTATGTTACCTACATCTAGGTATCTATGTTAGCTACATCTATGTATCTATGTTAGCTACATCTAGCTACATCTAGGTATCTATGTTAGCTACATCTAGGTATCTATGTTAGCTACATCTATGTATCTATGTTAGCTACATCTAGTATCTATGTTAGCTACATCTAGGTATCTATGTTAGCTACATCTATGTATCTATGTTAGCTACATGTAGGTATCTATGTTAGCTACATCTATGTATCTATGTTAGCTACATCTAGGTATCTATGTTAGCTACATCTATGTATCTATGTTAGCTACATCTAGGTATCTATGTTAGCTACATCTAGGTATCTATGTTAGCTACATCTAGGTATCTATGTTAGCTACATCTATGTATCTATGTTAGCTACATCTAGGTATCTATGTTAGCTACATCTATGTATCTATGTTAGCTACATCTAGGTATCTATGTTATACATCTATGTATCTATGTTAGCTACATCTAGGTATCTATGTTAGCTACATCTATCTATCTATGTTAGCTACATCTAGGTATCTATGTTAGCTACATCTATCTATGTTAGCTACATCTATCTATCTATGTTAGCTACATCTAGGTATCTATGTTAGCTACATCTATGTATCTATGTTAGCTACATCTATCTATCTATGTTAGCTACATCTATCTATGTTAGCTACATCTAGGTATCTATGTTAGCTACATCTATCTATGTTAGCTACATCTATCTATCTATGTTAGCTACATCTAGGTATCTATGTTAGCTACATCTATCTATCTATGTTAGCTACATCTAGGTATCTATGTTAGCTACATCTATCTATGTTAGCTACATCTATGTATCTATATTAGCTACATCTATCTATGTTAGCTACATCTAGGTATCTATGTTAGCTACATCTATCTATCTATGTTAGCTACATCTATCTATGTAGCTACATCTAGTATCTATGTTATCTACATCTAGTATCTATGTTAGCTACATCTATGTATCTATGTTAGCTACATCTAGTATCTATGTTAGCTACATCTATCTATCTATGTTAGCTAGATCTAGGTATCTATGTTAGCTACATCTATGTATCTATGTTAGCTACATCTAGGTATCTATGTTAGCTACATCTATATCTATGTTAGCTACATCTATGTATCTATGTTAGCTACATCTAGTATCTATGTTAGCTACATCTAGGTATCTATGTTAGCTACATCTATCTATCTATGTTAGCTACATCTATCTATCTATGTTTGCTACATCTAGGTATCTATGTTAGCTACATCTATGTATCTATGTTATCTACATCTAGGTATCTATGTTAGCTACATCTATGTATCTATGTTAGCTACATCTATGTATCTATGTTAGCTACATCTAGGTATCTATGTTAGCTACATCTATGTATCTATGTACATCTATGTATCTATGTTAGCTACATCTAGGTATCTATGTTAGCTACATCTATGTATCTATGTTAGCTACATCTAGGTATCTATGTTAGCTACATCTATGTATCTATGTTAGCTACATCTATGTATCTATGTTAGCTACATCTAGGTATCTATGTTAGCTACATCTATGTATCTATGTTAGCTACATCTATGTATCTATGTTAGCTACATCTAGGTATCTATGTTAGCTACATCTATGTATCTATGTTAGCTACATCTATGTATCTATGTTAGC